GTACTGCAGTAAGGGGTATCAGGTTTTTGAATGTGTTAAATGACACCTTCATGTCACAACTGGTACAAGCACCAACTAGAAAGGATGCTTGTCTGGATCTCGTTATAACAAACAATGTTGATCTTTTAACCAACATTCATGTAGTGGGAGCATTTGGGAAATAGTGATATGGTAATAGCTGCTTGATCCAAGGAGACATCTGACTGCAAGAAGGATTTTATTTCCTAGTTTGTAGCAAAATTGGAAGCGCTTCAGACTGGGGGGTTTGCCTTCTTTTGGATCAACAGCAACAACATTTGTGAGGAAGGCTGAACTTGATGGACACAAGTCTCTTTTCAACTATGTAACTATGTAAGGTAAGTGAAGCTACTAAACGACAGAATGGAGAGCTGACAGAACAAAATTTCTCTGCAGAATAAAAATTAGTTCTGGAATGAGTGGGGGGGTGGGAGAGTTTGAAGCTCTGTGGGATAATTGTCAAATCAACCATTCTCGATGCAAAATGGCAGCTGCAGTGTCCTTCATAAGCATCCCTTGGAGATGCCCACATTTCGCAGTGTCGAAATCTGGAATTAAAGTCAACCGAACTTCCTTTTATTTTTTTTTGCAACATGTTTTAAACATTTTTAACATCTTTAAAGGGGCAATATACATTATTGTAAGATAAAAGGTAATTAAACAAATAAAATTAGTCTGTCACTACTTGGACCAATGGCTGCAGTTATTGCTGTGAGTCTCTAATATCGATACATTTCTGGTTTGTACTTTTTTAGTCCATTTATCTTGCCAGTAAAACCATCTCCATAACATGCAGGTCACTATGCTGTATTGTGGGGATGGGTTGACTGGATACTCAGCAATATTGGCTTTGAGACACAGTTTGTGCTGAGTGAAAGTTTAGCCCTGTCATACTAGAGAATATTTTACCATGTTTGTTCTAAAGAGATTTAATATCAATGGCTATTTTCTTGTTATATATCCATGAGGTCCTGCATCTAGTTGATATTAGTCCCATTGTATTTACCTATCTGTGTATAATTTTAGTTTTCTTTAATTCCACTTACCTGTCATTGTAACCCCTATTGCAATCTGGTTGTGTGTTTTCAATATGTGTGTGTGTGTGTTTGTGTGTGTGTCTAAAAAGACTTTTTTCTGTGATACCTCCCCAATCCCCCACCCCCTTCCTTTATTGGTATATAACCAAATGGTCAAGGCCTACTTGACCCTCTTATCTATTTCTCCCACAGTCTGAATTTAAATCTTCCCTGCCTCACATCAGAACAGCACTTAGTCCATATTCAGCTGATCCAGTTGCAATAAGCAAGGTAGCCTTCTGGAGAACATTAGAAACATTTAATGCGGCACATTTGCCCTCTCACCCCTCCACCCACTCCCTTTAGAATGTAAGCTCATTGAGCAGGACCCCAATCTCTGTCACTATACCCCACTCCCTCTAACATGTAAACTCACTGAGCAGGCCCTCAATCCCTCTGTTACTGTGTCACTATACCCCACTCCCTCTAACATGTAAACTCACTGAGCAGGGCCTCAATCCCTCTGCTACTGTGTCACTATACCCCACTCCCTCTAACATGTAAACTCACTGAGCAGGACCTCAATCCCTCTGTTACTGTGTCACTATACCCCACTCCCTCTAACATGTAAACTCACTGAGCAGGGCCCTCAATCCCTCTGTTACTGTGTCACTATACCCCACCCCCTCTAGCATGTAAACTCACTGAGCAGGGCCCTCAATCCCTCTGTTACTGTGTCACTATACCCCACTCCCTCTAACATGTAAACTCACTGAGCAGGCCCTCAATCCCTCTGTTACTGTGTCACTATACCCCATTCCCTCTAACATGTAAACTCACTGAGCAGGCCCTCAATCCCTCTGTTACTGTGTCACTATACCCCACTCCCTCTAACATGTAAGCTCACTGAACAGGCCTTCAACCCCTCTGTTACTGTCACTATACCCCACTCCCTCTAACATGTAAGCTCACTGAACAGAGCCTTCAACCCCTATATTCCTGTCTGGTAACAATTACGTGTCTGTTACTCCACCCATTGTACAGCACTGCGGAATTTGTTGGCTCTTTATAAATAATAATTATAATGGACGGCTTCTCCACTCTTTGGATCTCTCCAGCTCTTTCAGAGACACCAATGGATCCTTTGGCTAATACTTCCCTTACCGCGTCACTTCTCATAGCTTTGGATGAGCTAGATTTATTCAATTTTTTTTATAATTAATTTTTACATTTTTTTTTTTATCCTTTTACTTTCTCTACTTTTTATGTGAACTTTATAAATTCCTGATGAAAATGATGAATACATATACGCATTGCACTGCTCTAATTTTGTTCCATGCCGCTTATCCCTTGCCATCTCATTAGCAGTCAGAGACCTTCATTAAAACCAACTGAAACAAAAATGCAGCTCTTAAAGCGGCACTGTCATGGCCGAATCCCGTTTTTGGGGGGGGGGGGTTTAACCCACCTCCACTACATCTAATTGACCCCCTAGTGACCCCCAAATGCCCCTAAGTCCCCCATATCACCTATTTTTTATTCTTTATTTTCTGCCCCTATCTATATTAAGGGTGCCGCCATCTTTGTGTGGGTAGATTAAGTCCCTGTGGGATACGTCATCTGCCCACACTAGATAGACTATGAGAGTCCCGCACATGCCCAGTGAAACACCTGGACATGCGAATGGGAATTTCATCCATTCATTCATCGGAAAGACGAATGAATGAATAGAAAAATCAGACGAACAAACTAACACTGTGTATCAGTGTTCGTTTGTTCGTTCAGTTTATTACAAGCAGGGAGCTACCGGCACGCAGCTCTCTCCTTGTAATATGTAACTATTGAAACGGCAGGGAGCAGTGCTCCCCGCCACTTCATAAGCCCCCCAGGTCCTCCCTCACTCTATGGAGGTCAAAATGACCCTCATAATAGCATAAAGGAGATTCAAATCTCCCCAATGCCCCTACTCGCTATACCGCGAGTAGGTGTATGTCCACTAAACAGTGAGCAGCCAGTGGTGACCTACTGTCCTCCCCCCCTCCCCTGGCCCCAACCCCTGGGCGGCGGGTGTGGGCCATAATGATAATGGGGGGGGCCTACTGTCCTCCCCCCCGGCACCAACCCCTGGGCAGCGGGTGGGGGCCATAAAGATACTGAGGGTGGCTGACCTACTGTCCTCCCCACCCCTCGGCCCCCACCCCTGGGCGGCAGGTGGAGGCCCGAAGTAAAATTTCCCCCCAACCCCCCCATCAAAGGTGACTAGGGGTCCCCTAGTCACCGACCCCCCCTCCCAAATAAAAAGTCCCCTACCTATTCCCCTCACCCTAAAAATAGTGAGGGGGGAATAAAATTACTAACCTGTAAAGTAAAATTAAACTTGCCATTCAACGTCTTCTTTTTTCATTTTCAGCCCCAAAAAAGGCCAAATAAAAAACCATACCCGTCGAACTTAAAATAAAATAAAAAATCCGAGCGCAAAAAAAAAACCTGACGAAAAAGAAAAAACCTGAGCGCAATAAAAGTTCCAAAGAACTTTCCCACGCTGTGTAAAATGACAGAGCACTTAAACCCACCAATCAGAGTGTTCTTAGCCTAATTGCAGGGCGTGGCAAGGCTTTATAAGCCTTCCCCCTCACCCTGTGGAGCTCAGTCTGGCGGAGCCCTCCATGGGTGAAGATGGATTATTTTTTTTTGCGCTCAGGTTTTTTATTTTATTTTAAGTTCGACGGGTATGATGATTTTTTATTTGTCCTCTTTTTGGGCTGAAAATGAAAAAAGAAGACGTCGAATGGCAAGTTTAATTTTACTTTACAGGTTAGTAATTTTATTCCCCCCTCATATTTTTTAGGGTGAGGGGGGGAGGTAGGGGACTTTTTATTTGGGTGGGGGGGTGGGTGACTAGGTGCTTGGGGACCCCTAGTCACATTTGTTGGGGGTGGGGGGGAATTTGACTTAGGGCCCCCACCCGCCAGGGGTGGGGGCAGGGGGGGTGGAGAACAGTAGGTCCTCCCCCCCATTATCTTTATAGCCCCCACCCACCATCCAGGGGTGGGGGCCGGGGGGAGGATAGTAGGTCCCCCCCTCACTATCACTATGGCACCCACCCGCCGCCCAGGGGTGGGGGGAAGAGGACAGTTAGTCCCCCCCCTCATTATCATTATGGCCCCCACCCGCCGCCCAGGGCTGGGGGCCGGGGTGGGGACAATAGGTCTCCCCCCTTATTTTACTTTAGGGCCCCCAGCCATCATTTAGGGGTGGGGGCCAATAGGTTTTTATTTATTTTTTTACAGTGAGCAGCCACTGGCTGTTCACTGTTTACCAGACATGCCCCTGCTCGCGGTATAGCGAGTAGGGGCATAATTTACTAATACTAAGTAATCTTTACTTAGTATTAGTAAATGTGGCTGAAAGACCAATTTAGGTCTTTCATCCTTTTAGTAGATAGCTCACTGATACTGTGGGAATTAGGGAGTTATCTACTAAGCGGCTGCAAGATGCAGCCACAGCAAGAATAGGATCGGAGTTTCATTCATTCGAATGAAATTGCGATCCGAACAAAATGCCGAATTGAGTTCTAAAAGAAACGAACATACTGTTCTCAGTCAGTTAGAACGCAATTCGGTAGTTTCGTCTAAAATGACAAGAAGCATCGCGGGAACACAGAGGAAAGGTAAGGATCATGTGAAAATTGCTCTGACCAGCGGAAATGAAGCACACTTTTCTCCTCCGCTGGGCAGAGCTGGTCAAGCGGAGGAATCCTCCATAACGTAAAGAGTCCCTACTTTGTCTTATGATTTTAAAGAAAACTAAAGAAGACAGGAAGAAAAGAAGAACAGATCCTGAGAGAGGGGGAGAAGAGGAAGAGATTGAGGACAGGTAAGTTTGGAATGACAGTGCCGCTTTAATGGGGCTAATTTCAGAAAGCTTTTTGTATTCTCTGATTACAAATTGAAACACTGTCCGTATTTAGACTATGTTTACCTCTGAACTCCTGACATTGTGAACTAAATTTGGGTTTCTTTCTCCTGCTTGCTCGTAGTCCCGATCTCCTGCTTGCTCGTAGTCCCGATCTCTTGCTTGCTCGTAGTCCCGATCTCTTGCTTGCTCGTAGTCCCGATCTCTTGCTTGCTCGTAGTCCCGATCTCTTGCTTGCTCGTAGTCTCGATCTCTTGCTTGCCAGTAGTCTCGATCTCTTGCTTGCTCGTAGTCCCCATCTCTTGCTTGCCCGTAGTCTCGATCTCTTGCTTGCCAGGAGTCTCGATCTCTTGCTTGCTCGTAGTTCCGATCTCTTGCTTGCCCGTAGTCTCGATCTCTTGCTTGCTCGTAGTCCCGATCTCTTGCTTGCTCGTAGTCCCGATCTCTTGCTTGCTCGTAGTCCCGATCTCTTGCTTGCTCGTAGTCTCGATCTCTTGCTTGCCCGTAGTCTCGATCTCTTGCTTGCTCGTAGTCTCGATCTCTTGCTTGCTCGTAGTCCCGATCTCTTGCTTGCTTAGTATTCCCACTTACTTGTCCTGTCCCTTGATCCAAGTAAATCTATGAATAGATACAAATCTTAACATTGTTTCCAAGGATACTATACGTTTTATTGTTTGAATTTATGTTAATTTACTTATTTACTGCTCTAAATCACACTGAAATCTAGCACATGTACAATTTCTTTTGGTATATGTTTTATATAAAATAAACACAAAACTGAACAAATAATAAATCCCCAACTAGCACTGCTGGACTGCCAAATAGTAATAAATGTAACTAATCTTTTTTTTTTCCAATTTGACAATTTTTATTTTCACAGAAGGAGAAGAATAAGGGGGGGGGATACAGAAAGGAAGATGGGGGGGGGGGAATGGGAGTTGTCATACATTGTTACATTACCGTGAGCACCTCAGGCTCTCCATCCTCACTTGGAGGATTAGATTGAAAATATCGTGTAGTAGTCATGCATGATAACAATATATGTACACATTAGACAACAAGTACCATTAGAGACAACCCCTGGGGTTTAGAAGTTGAGTAGTGGTAATATTCGGGTACCCACTTGTATCTCTTTGTAATTATGGGGTTTCCCTTGTACCCTCTAGTTCTTTTAGCTGCTGACTTGTTGTTTCCAGGGGCTAACTTGGCATGGCGCTCGAGTTGCGCGTGGCTACCAACGGAATGTGAAACACCGAAGGTAGGGGTGTCGGGGTGGATGGGTCGTGGTATAACATATACCACCAGGGTTATAAACTTAAACTAGTATAACATAACATGTCTGAGCTTCACTTTTTTGCGTAAGCCTGCACTCAAGTAAGGTGTGTTCCCTATATAAGTTGCTTTGTGGAGACGTGGTTGTCCTGATGTGGATTGGTCGCACTCGGTGGTCAACCCTCCCTGCACCTATGTTGCTATATGTAGGAGTGCTCATTTGGTGGCTTTGGTTCGGCCTGAGATCTTCACCTAAATGTGTGTATGAGGATCCCTTCCGGTGTCCCGCTTTGTATCAAGTGGTACTATGCTGTGTTCTGTATAACTTCCATTTAGTGTATGCTTCCCTAGTTCTATGATTCGTGCTTAAATATTTACTAGCCATGTGCTCGTATTCCCAATTCGTGGAGATTTGACTTATCAGTGCTTGTTTGGTCGGTGGTCGGGGTTGTTTCCAGCACTTGGCTATCAGAGTCACTGCTGCTATTAAAGTTTGGAATATTAGTTGCCTTTCTGGGTTTTGCCAGTGATTTAGGTTCATGAATAGTAAGCCTTGTTCAGGTGTCAAGTGGTATGTGTTCTCTAACGTGTGGGCCACAATTTCCTCCACTTGTTTCCAGTATGGGGTCAGAGCTGGACAGGTCCACCATATGTGGAACATCGTACCCCGTTCCCCACAGTTTCTCCAACAATTTGGGTTGGTGCCTGGATATATTGTAGCAAGTCTGTCTGGGACCATGTACCATCTATATAAGATTTTCCTCATTGTTTCTAGGTGAGAGGCACACATGGTGAGGCTTTTGTGTGCTCTAAAGGCTAGTTTCCAATCTCTGTCTTCTAACTCGCGCCCCAGGTCCGCTTGCCATTTGTTTCTGAAGTCCGTTTGGGAGTTGGCATGTGTGTTCGTCAGGGTCATATATAGTTTGGAGATGATTTTTGTGGGAGTCTTCTCGGTTAAGCACAATTGTTCCAGGGGGTGCTTGGGCTGTGTTTCAGGGTTGTCCCATTTTGGGAGGGCGGACACAAAGGATTTTAACTGCAGGTAGGGAAAAATGTGTTTGGCCGGTATAGAAAACCTAGACTGCAATATCGGGAATGGTATTATTTTACCTCCCTCGCATATTTGTCGTAAGTGCGTGCAGCCCCCTGCGAGCCATGGTGTGTGGTCGAAGTTGTGGATGTGTGCTTGGATACTCTCTATTGGCATGTTTCCTATGTTAGGACCTCTTCCCCCTTGTGCGGCCCCTGCCTTCTCCCATATTTGTAGCATAGCCCTCGTTGGGGGTAGCATATCTGTGGATGTCAAGTTTGGTGTATGAGGTGTCCAGTATATGTGCTTTAGTCCATGTTTGCAGGCCCATTGAGACTCTATGTATACCCACTGAGGTGGTTCCGTCCCCGAGTGTGAAGTTGCAATAGCCGCCAACTGTGTGGCCCAGTAATACGTCCGTAAATTCGGCATCCCCAAACCCCCCTCCATCACTGGTTTCTGCAAAATTTTTGTAGCTACCCGTACTCTACGGTTCGCCCATATGAATCTTACCATCATTGTTTGTAACTTGGCTAAGTATTTTCCTGGTATTCGTATGGGAATTGTGCGGAGGAGGTAGAGGAGCTTGGGAAGTAGGGTCATTTTAAAGGCGGCTAGTCTACCTAGCCATGATAGGAATTTTCCCTCCCATGTTCGCAGAGTATCTGCAAACGATTTGGGAAGTGTGGCAAAGTTGAATTTGAACAAGTTGGGCAGATGAGGAGGTATGTGTATCCCTAAGAATGTGATGTTGTCTGTCCGCCAATCAAAAGAGAAGGCGTCTCTGAGTTGTCTCAGAAGGTCCTCTCGGATTCCTATACCCATGGCTTGGGATTTGGTGACGTTTAGTTTGTAATAGGAATTTAGACCATATTCCTTGATGGTCGCCATTAGGTTCGGGAGGGATATCATGGGCTGAGTCAACGTTAATAGGATGTCGTCTGCGAATAGATTTATCTTAAATTCTCTGTCCCCAAATGGACCCCATGAATAGCTTTGTTTGCTCTGATAAGTGCCGCCAGTGGTTCCAGAGCTAGTACGTACAGCAGCGGGGAGAGCGGACAACCCTGTCTCGTTCCATTAGTTATGCAGAAGGTTTCAGAGGTGAAACCCGCTGTGATCACCTGTGCGGATGGGCTGTGGTATAGGGCCCCGACCGCTGAGCGGAACATCTCCGGCAATCCGAATTTGCATAGGACCGCTTCCAGAAACCCCCAGCCCAAGCGGTCAAAGGCTTTTTCCGCATCCAACGAAATGACTAAGCATTCCATTCGCTGTTTGCGTGCGCTGTGTATAATGTCTATGACCTTCCTTGTGTTGTCGCCTCCCTGGCGTCCCTTCACAAACCCTACTTGGTCATTATGTATCACCTGTGGGAGTATGTCACTTAATCTGGTAGCATATATTTTGGCAAAAAGTTTTGTATCGGTATTGAGTAACGAAATCGGCCGAAAGTTTTGTGGGTGCGTTGGTGGTTTACCTGGTTTAGGGAGCGTGATTATGTGGGCTTTCAGAGCTTCTTGTGGCAACGCTCGTTTTGCAACTGCCTCGTTAAATGCGTGTGTTATGTGTGGGACTAAAATCTGTTGGAATTTTTTGTAATACCCATTGGCAAAGCCATCTGGGCCTGGGGCTTTTTCCGCTTGTAATGTGGCTATGGCTTTGAACACTTCAGGTTCCGTGATGCGGGCCAAGAGGGAATCTTGCTGGGCAGAGGTGAGTTTGGGCAATTTGATTTTTTCCAAGAATTCACTTATATTCGGTTCCCTCGGTTGAGGGGTGGAGCGGTAATTTCTGAGATTGTACAGTGACTCATAGTATTTGGCGAAAACGTTACTGATGTCTTTGGGTGCTACTATTTTGTGTCCCTGAGGGGATGTCATGTATGCTATCTTTTGGGCCGCCTGCTGTGTCTTAATTCTCTGTGCTAGGAGTTTGCCTGCTTTGTTGCCTTGTGTGTAGGTCCTAGCTTTAAGTCTAGTCAAATGTCGTCCCACTTGTTCTAGGGATAGTTTGTGTATTTGTTCTGTTATCTGTACAATACGTGTTCTCAGTTCCTTAGTGGGTGTGTGTTGATTTTGAGAGGTAAGGCGCTGGAGGTCTTTTTTGGGCAATTATTAATTGGGAGTTGGCCTGTTGTTTTAAAAAGGATGCTCTCCGTATGAGCAAACCCCTTATGACCGCTTTGTGTGCTTGCCACAAGGTGGTTCTGGAGGTGTCTGTGGAGTCGTTGGTTTGGAAATAATGCGTCAAGCTTGCCTTTAGTTCCTCAGTAAAGTTGCTATCACGCAGTAACGCCGTATTTAAACGCCAGGGACTTCTATGGGTAGGGTCGTACTTGTTTTTGAGTATCAGTTCCACTGGGGCGTGGTCAGACCACGTCATGAGCCCTATTTCGCAGTTGGTTATTTGTGACATGGCTGCTCCCGAGATGAGAAACCCATCTATGCGGGAGTAGGTGTTGTGTGCTGCGGAAAAAAACGTATATCCCCTCTCACCCACATGATGGGCTCTCCACACATCATATAGATGATGGCGGTGGAGAAGGTGTCTCAGTGCTCTACTTTGTTTTTTGAGTGGGGCAGTCCGTGCTTTTGATGCGGCCAGAGTAGTGTCGATTGTAGGGTCAAACACATGATTAAAGTCTCCACATATTATGGTAGTGCCTTGTTGGATATGTTGTAGTTTTAGTATGATTTTGTGGAGAAAATTTCTTTGATTTGTGTTCGGGGCGTAGATATTAGCTATAGTGTACTGAATGTCGTTAATTGTGCCTACTATGATAACAAATCTGCCGTCTGGATCGATGTGTTGCGAGTGGGGAATGTACGCAACGTTTTTGCTAATTAGAATCGACGTACCTTTCGTTTTGTTTGTTGTGGTTGCATGGAATTGTATCGGGAATTCTTTTTGTAAGATGGTGGGGTGTGATCCCGTCCTGAAGTGTGTCTCCTGTAAACAGAGCACGCCTATGTCTTTATGTTGTATTTCCCTATAGAGGAGGTGTCGTTTAACTGGGATATTTAGTCCTCTGACATTGTGTGAGTATACTTTCACGGTGGTAGGTGGTCCTGGTCTTGTGTGTGGTCTTGTGTAAGTAGTCTATAAGCGGGGGTCCCCTGTTGTCCCAGTTCTCTCGAACCCAGGGGGTTCCCCCTCTGTACCTCTAGTTGTGTTAACGCATGTTTCCACTTGGGTGGTGGTGATCTCAGAACCCCGTCATCAATCAGTGGATTCTGTTGCCCTCGGGAGTGCTTTACGTGAACCTCAGACATAACAGATATAAACATATAAACAGTAATAATAACAACATAAGATAAAAGGAATGGCTCCTGACGTGCCGGGTGTCCGGCTGTGCACCTGTGTGCGGTGCTTTGGGGGTGGAAGCTTACGGCTTCCGTCCTGGCTGCAGTTCAGCGGCTTTGGCCTTTATCTTGACCATGTAAGGTTGCAGTGACCTAATGATGTGTAGTGCGTATGGGAGGTCTGTGACTGCGTCTGACTGGAAGGCCTGTAGGGTGTGATAGTAGGGTGTATGTGGCATTCAGTTTGCTCTGGGAGGGTAGTCTGGCACCCGCAGAGGTGTCTCCTCCGCTACACTAGACACCTATATTCCAGCATGTTCCGAAATTTGCGTGTACCCTGTGTTTAGGTGGTGCCGTGGCAACCGTATAATAATAATAATAATATTATTATTATTTTTTTTTTTTTATACAGCATTAAAGAGACCCTGGGGGGGGGGATGGGAGAGGGGGAAGCCCACTTGCCCACTCACCCACTCGCCTGCAGTAAATAAATCAGCGTCTCTAAGTGGCCCTTCACCCTCCTCTAGGGCTGTAACTCTCTCACCTCGTGTGCCGTGGGTCCTTATCGGGCATGTGGGGGTCAGATCCCAGTTTGTGCGGTCCCCCCACCTCCATCCCCAGCCCCCAGTCTTCCCGTCCCCCATCAATATGCATCTCTCTTGTTCATAACAGTTGTTGCCCCATGTTACATTAGTATACCCTTGATACAGGCCTGGTCAGGATGAGCGTTTACAGTCTCAGCACCTCCTCACAGGGACAAATTAGGGCTTGGCCTTCCTCCATGATGGAGTAAGTCTCTGAGTCTCTCGCCCTTTAGCTTGCACTTCAATGCCCCAGCTTTGGAGGACCTTCGTTCCTTCTTCTGGGGAATGCAGGATAGTAGGCTTTCCGTTCCTCTGTACCACCAATTTGACCGGATAGCCCCACCTATACGGCATGTGTAGTTGGCGAAGATGAGTTGTTATGGCGGAGAATTCTTTTCTTCGTTTCAGCGTGAACGCCGATATATCAGCATAGATGTGGATGTGCTGGTAGGCTGGGTCGGCGTCTCTTTTGTTCCTCGTTCGGTTCGCCCTCATGATTTCCTCTTTAATGTGGAAATAGTGGAGACGAATTAGAGTGTCTCTGGGTGCATCTGCAGGCAGAAAAGCCGGCTTCGGGACTCTGTGTGCCCGGTCCATCAGGAACATGTCATGCGGCACCTCTGGGGGGAGGGCCTTGAACATGTCTGTGAGGTAGGCCTGGAGATGGGTCGGGCCGACACTCTCTGCTATGCCCCTGATGCGGAGGTTATTACGCCGTCCCCTATCCTCCATATCCGCAATTTTTTCCTCCTGGGCCGCAATACGGGTTTTAAGGCCATCCAGCTCTGTCGCCATATCGTTGTAGGCCTCTTCGTGTTCCGCCATCTTGTTTTCCATCGTGGACGTCCTCTCCCCCAATTCCTTGATATCTGATCTGAGGTCTGTTATGGAGCTGTGGAATGAAGCCTGCAGCTTGTCAGCCATCGAGTTTAGGAGGGATTGTAGGATCCCTTTGGTGACAGGTGGGTCTGCAGATCCGGCCTCCTGGGCCGTTATGGCATCCTCCTCCCCGCCATCTTGGGTTTCCTCGTGGTGCGCCTGGCCCCGGGTTTGGCTCGATTTCACGCCAAAAAAATTGGTTTTATCGCCCCTCTCTGTCTGGCGACGCTGTTTGGGTTGGGACATCTTGTAGTCTGCCGTGTCCCTGTAGCTTGTCACTGCTGTGCTTTTGTGGTTAGGCCGTAGCAGCTCGGAGCTCCTGCTACATGCGACCGCTTTTGCCGGCGTCCAGGACACGCCCCCCAATAAATGTAACTAATCTTTAATATGAAAAAGACACAAAAGTCAGTTAGCCTAAACGTGAGACAGGGCTTAAAAGGACACTCCAAACACCTAGAGCACTTTAGCTTCTTGGTATGCTTTATATGTGAAAAGTGTGGCCTCTTTTTTCTATTTTACAAAAAGTGCAGATTTCAATAGAAATTGGCACATTTCTAAATGAACCTGTTTACACCCCCCTCGCTGTCAATCAGATAGCCGGTCCTGTTACTTCCTGGTTGTTTAGCTCAGTGCAGATAAACTCAAGAGGCAGCAATTCCCCAGAGCACCTGCCTTGCAAAGACTTCTTATTGAGCTTCATTGGGAAGTCTGTGATTGGACAGCCACGGAAAGACTGGGAGTGAATAGAAGGGGTGGGATTGCAGACAAGAGATCTGCAGCTTCTCCAAGCTGTTTTTAGATTAGCCCCAATGAAAAATTGCATAATTAAATGCATACATGTTTTTAATTTGATATATTTCTACTAAACAGTTGATTTATTTTTAAATAATTTTGTATCTGGGCAGGTAAAGTGTACCTTTAGGTGTTATTTTTGCTTTTAGAGCTATTTTGAACCCTTTGTTTTTATGGGGAAATAGGGCTCCCTTATTTTCAATGTACAGTATGTGAACTACATGGAGTCAATGAGTATTAAAGGGAATTAGAACTCAGAGGGGAAGAGAATTCCTTCTTCTCAGTCTTATTGCATTCCGTTTCAGTTTTATTCTTATCATTAATGAGCTGTGAGCTTGGTTACAATGAAGCGAACATTTTGCTGCTAATAGAGAAACAGTACCTTCATACTTTGTAGCACAGTAAATACTTAAATAGAAGCAATTCATTGTATACTATGTGGTCTAATAGCTATAACTTTTCAAAGACAGGTAGTTTGCAGAAATCGCCCTTTGATACCTGATTTCACTGATTCTTCACTGTGTGTATTTTTCATATTGAATATTGGTTCAGAGTAATTTAAATACAATTCATTTTAATAATATTAAAGGGGCATTCCAGACCCCTAAACAACTTTAGTTTGCTGAAAAGCTTTATGTATGAAGAGTGTGCCCTCTCTTTTTCCATTTTATAACCCCTAACCCCTAATCAGGGCTTAACAAATCCCAGGCACCCTGGGAGTCTGTTCAGCCCCTGAGGTGACCGGCTGCCCGAGATTGGAGTTGGGCAGTCGGCTCACGCAGGGCTGAGATGGGCAGGCAGGTGGACATATGGCTCATTAAGAACTGAGGTAGGAGGGCTACTGGATGAGGGAGGCTGCAAGGGAGCTGTATTCTCCCTGCTCTGCTCCCTTGCGCGCCCTCCAGTGATGCCGGGAGGGAATATGATGTAATTCTGGCCCCACAGCACTAAACAACGCTCTAGAGAGCAGAACAGAGAGATGACAACAGCCCCACTGGCTGCCTGGGAAAGTTAATCCACTCCAGCTTTCCCAAAGGTAGGATGGCTGGGTGGATTTAAAATAGTAGAGTGTGTGTGTGTCTGTGTGTGTGTGTCTGTCTGTGAGTGTGTCTTTCTGTGAGTGTGTGTGTGACTGTCTGTCTGTGAGTGTGTGTATATTTTTACGTGACCTGCCCCCCTCCAATCACTTGGGAAAGGTGTTTTTACTCACCCTTTTTCCCATGCTGTGCTGGTGACACCGCGGCTGGCCCCACCTCCATGGCTGAGATTATCAATCTTGATGATCGCAGGCAATCCAATGTTTCCCCATAGAAAAACATTTGGAGACTATTTTGCATTCGCAGAATCCTTATGGAAAGCATTTATGTAGGTGCTGCACACTAAGCAGAACTGACCCGGGAAGCACGTATAGAGACCGTCTGAGTGACTGTCACTAGAGGTTTTTCCAGACAGCAATGTAAACCCTACCCTGCCTTTAGTCTGAAACGTCAGTGTTTACATTGAAAAGCGTGCATGGACAGAATATAGACTTCAGAACATCTACATTAAGCTATAGTGTCCCTTTAATAATTGTACTTTTCACATCAAAAAATCTGGCTCCTAACTTTTTTAGTGGGCTCCTAGATTTCAAATTTGTCAAGCCCTGCCCTAAATCATGAAATAATAATTTAAACAAACAGTGGAGGTGCTACCGGTTAATTGTAACAACCAATGTGGTGGATCCTCCCAAACAGATAAACTGAAATCTCCATCTCAGACCTTACATGTAATTAGTAAACATAACTTCTATTAGAGCCAAATATAAAAGTCTCCAACTAAGTGACTAATATACCAAATATACAAAAGAATGCAATAAAATCGCCGGCTATATTTATCTAAGATGCAGCAGCTGAAAGAACAACTGTTGTAACAGACAGTTACCAATAAGACCATTAATGTATATGTAACGGACCGTTTTGCACACAAGGGGTAAAAACTATTTAGGCGATCGTCCCCCTTTCCAGAGATGCAGGCACAGCTATTGTAGAACACCAAACTCACGAACCGCCAATAAGTGAATGCTCCAAAATCCCGAACGGCATCCAATATAGCACTCCAAACACATGAACAGGAACCATACGAATAGCTGCTAGCAGACGAATAGGAAAAGCATCCAATCAGCTTACACTCCTAGCAATCAGTCTCTATCAGCATTCAGTAAATCCCCCCAAAGACGAGACAAAGCTCCGTGTTGAGGGTCAAGCAGTGAACAGACAGAGCTGTGGGTTTATTGTTCTTATGTACACATTCTTACACATTAGTACCACCCACAGGGTTTTGGAACACAACCAATAAACACATACAATACACTCAGACACTCCCACACAAAATCCTCCCCTCTGCCTGTGATACAATTACCTTACACAATGGGTAATGTAATTATCACAAGCAGAGAAATACAATTTTTCCACATTATTCATAACTTGAAAAGTATGCATCACATAAAACTTACATTTTCAGAATCAGCATACTCCAAATACAAACATACGTCAAAATCATGCAAATTGGTCCAGTGGTTCAAAAGATAGATCGTAGTCCTTTGTGACCACAGGAAGCATGGCTTTTCTGCCCAAAACCAGTTCCACAGAGTCTTCTATCCTGGAGATAATTAGAAGTAATCCAATTATTTCCAAAGACAGAGGCAAAACTCCATTGAACACATGGCAGCAAAAAGACCGTAAAATACAATAAAATACACAAGGTTACATTTATGACATAAAATACAGACATGCAATATATGCCCAGACAGCTTAGGTCTAAGCGCACATTATTACTGAATGGCGCTCAGTGCACACACATACAGTTCAATTGCCATGGAGCCAAAGTCTTTCCCATAGTCTTTCATTATACGAATGGGCTCCATGGCATAGCTATCTGGGGTATCACCGCTCAAACAGGGCAAGCACCAAATGACCCGGCTTTGCAGGGGAAAATCAAGCCTTTTAACATGGGGCCATAATCCCAAGGCAACAGGCGAGCAACCCGACTTCTCCAATGCAATATGGCGAGATTGGTCTCGTCACAGTATAAATCTATATGTGTTGGTGTAGCGGAGTAGCAAGGGTTAATGCACGATCTCTCCGCTGGTAACCAGGATTCAGCATACAGAAGACAGGTAGCGTAGTATAATCCCCTTTCCCAATGACTAGATGACACATAGTCTGGGAGTCAACTGAGGGCTTTATTGAAACATCACCACATTTATATGCTTTTCACTGTACGGGGTTTCCAGACTGGGACAGCAGGGGTTTTAATCAGGTGGACTGTGTGGGAAACTGGCCATGCAGGGTCGTTTCCCAGCATCCCCTGCTGTACAGGGACAATGATGACATCAGCAAGTACAGATAATTGGATTAACAGTGGTTACAGGAAAATACAGTATTTTACATACAAATCTATTACTTAGGCAATTTCTTACAGATTTCCACGATTGACCCCTCATTAGACTGCAGGGATCTGAGGGTACAATCTCACAAATTACCACTCAGATCCCTGCAGAAATAACCGAATGCCACATGTAACGAACAAAAAAGTAATTCTGAGCCGCCAGCCACCTTACCTTCCCATTCGGTAAGCAGAACCGAATTACCACATGAATTACTTTTTTGGGTATACTGATACTGAAAAAGGAGATGCCTATGAGTGAAACTGCCATTTAGTTAAGCTTCCCCCTTCGCAATCTCGCTATCTCTGTTCGTATATACTTCAGCATACGAACCACAATCAGGGGAAAGCGGCAATCTCCCGAACGGGATCCGTAAGAGTGCTCCAAACTCCTGAACAATAATCCACGAATCGTTGCTAGCCGCCAAACAAGTATATCCACCAAGCGGCTTTCGTCTCCAGCAATCAGTCTCTATTTGTCGGTAATTAATCCCCCCAATAACGAGACCAAGCCCCGCATTGAGGGTAAAACAAGAACTCGCTTTACTGTGGGCTACCCGCCCGTATTTATGCAGGTCTCCCACTTGGTGGACACTCCCCTAGGGGAACAAATGGGAGACTGTAATGACAGACAGACATATGGCTATTCCAGACACACAGGCACAAAAGATTCCCATCATGCATCATGGTTCCCTCCCCTCTGCCCTGGAGATAATTGAGAAGTAATTCAATTATCTCCAGGACAAAGACAAATCGCCATTTTAAGTAAAACACCATAAAACACTTGAAAATAAATAATTCCACAACTACCGAACATTTTACATTCGTATAACATATCCCCAGATAGCCTGGATCTGAGGGCATATTATTAGCGAATAGCGCTCAGATCCCATACGCTGTTACACTACTTGGGTGATTTGGATTGGAACTCAACTGCAGCTTGTAAAACTCCCTAATTACAATAGTGAAGAAACGGAGAATCTTTAAAGTATCAATACTGTAGCTTTAAGAAAAGACAGAATCGCTGGTAACTTGATTCAACCGAAGTTTTAATAAGTGTTAAACTTAAATGAATTGCATTTAGGCAAAAATCCAATAAGAAGAAGTGCAAGTAATCAACAACACAAAGAACATTATTAAGTATTTCCTCAGAGATGCATTAAGTAACATTCTTTAAGTTCATGAGAATAATCTTCAATAGGAACAATAATCAAGTAGCTAAGAATATTTGCAAAGCAAGGACAGTTTATAGTGAATAAGCCTGATGGGAGTTGTCCTCCATATAATTAGTAGCTTGAAGCAGTGAAGATTTGAGTAAGCAAGCATTAGTTCATTATTAAATGATATTGTAGACAAATAGCTGAAAGATATACTTAAGGTTAATATGTGTAGTCCTCCAATAGTTCAGAGATATGGTCCACTTGTAAAGTAGCAAAGTATCCGTTCTCCAGTAATCCTTTATGGCATGCGGCAATCCTTGCATTGGCTCAAAGGCTGGAACGGCTTGTCTGAGCTTGTGGAGAGGTAAGTCTGGTGGAAGTGGCTCCCAGTAGCTGAGCCTGTGGAGCCCGCGGTCTCACGGAGGCAGCTCACACACCATCACCAAGCCCCCTCTCTCTGGCCCAGTCTCCCTTAATACCGTCAGAGCTGTGTCAGAGGGGGGCGGGGTCCGGCTTCTCACAGCTGAGTGCCAAACCCTGAAGTGTTACTCCATGACATATGCATAGTTCAATCGCCATACAGTCAAAGTCCTTACAGTCTTTCGGTATGCGATTGACTCCATGGGAAGGCTATCTGGGTTAAGTCTCTTCGTGTAATCCAAAACTCCCGAACGGCCGGTGTTCGCATGCTTTCGTCGACTGAAAAGGGTGATCTGTAGTTTCAGCGATGTTCGGCAGAAAAAGTGTCAGTTTTTAGTTCCATGGAATCAATGCCGAACACTGTTGGTCTTTCGCGTGATTTAAAATGGCCGCTGCCTCGTGGTCGACATGCGAACGACGACCACCCTGTATTCGGTTATAATTAAGAAGTGTCTGCGGTTAACCACAACGTTCTAATTGGGATCAAGAGGTTAACCAGCAGCACACTTCTATTCTGGGTGGCCGTCCGTTCGGTAGATTTATTCGGCAAAAAGTCAGTCATACGCATGGGGCTATAGAAACAGGCAATTTCCAAGAAAGGAAGGCAAACTAGACGACTCCACAATTAATAGTCATACAGATGGGTCTGTCACAGCTCCAATCTACCGAAAGAGTGGATCTCCCAAATGCTCTGGAAGTCCAGCAGTGTTTTGAAATCAAGTAGCCGATTTCAGTTCCACGCACTCGACGATCAAACACCGCTGAACTTTTACCGAAAACCTATTAACAGCACTTGCAACATTGTTGCACCTTGTTAATGAGAGACACACGACCTCATCAGTGTGGTCTCTCATTTGGTATTTAGTCAGTTCCCTGAACAGGACTGTGGATATTATTTGTGAACCTATTGCCTAGTTCTCATAGCCTAACAATAGGCGATACAGCCATTTTAAAAGTCCCGAACACAGTCCAAAGTAATGAAAGTCCTTTTCAAGTCCTTAGTGGCTAAGTTTGCCACAGTTGGCACTCTCGTCACAAGGTGGTGCTGGTATCGAGGTTGCCCTTAATGTAACCACTAACTTGTAACAGTTACATTGGAGCTCTCAGTCTGCTCTTATATTACAGCTGTAAACTAAGAAATAGACGTAAAAAGGTAAGTCTAAATCAGTGTAATAGCCTGAACAGGAGTGTATTAGCTATGGAAGGAGGTGGAAAATTGTTGAACTGGCCGAGTGATAAATGTCTACACCGTCTAAACGTGCCTTTGAGGGCACCTCCAAACCTGCCTCTCTTTCCCACTAGTCTCTAGTTCCTGGCTACTATGGTGCAGTAATAACAAACTGAACACGACGGGACCGGCAACAAAAATGATATAAAATCAAAAAGTATAAAATATAGGCTACCAGCTTTCCATCACCATGTTAACTATTCAATAATTCAATAAGGTGCCTAATAAGACTAATGTGAGAGAAGTACGGTAGCACTCCCGATGTACGTTGGAGACTTTCACACAAAAACAAATATGAATGCTAACTTTAGCGAGTGCTTGTAACTAAGTGGCTACTAAAAAAGACTGGAAATACCCCACTTGCAATACCTTGGGTTGTCTACTTTTGCAGATGGTATGCCATCATGGGGGCAATTCTCATTCCTGGGCTACCATACGGTCTCAAAGGCAACATAACCAATCTGGCAAATTTTTAGGTGTATAAACTGAAAAATGGAATGTGCTACATTTGACCCAAAACCCCCAAAAAGCTGTTCGTGGGGGGGGGGGGGTGCTATTGGACTCGTGAGACTTCGCTGAATACAAAGATGTGTATTTTATTACAGTAAAACCAAACAGCTAAAAGCTTCTCTCAATAATTTTGGAAAGTTACAAGGTCAAATATAGCACGTTACATTTTTTATGATATTCACTGTTAAAATGCCGCACAGAACGAAAACAATTTTTTTGAACAAAAGTGTATATATAATAAGTGTGGGTGAATTGTGGTTAAACAGACATATAGCGCAAATTCCAGGTTTTGTTACGTTTTGTTTTGATCAGAACGTATATTATTGCCTCCGTCCTTAAGGGGTCAATGTCTAAATATGCACTAATATTTCATACAGGCTGTGGTTTGCAATCTGTGGGTTTCAAGCTGATATTTAAAGTGTCATCAATTTATATCTATCAGGACATTTGACATCGGCCCTTGAAAAAATGAGATTTCTCCTAGACCAGAGGAAAGGGGTTTACGATTAGATCAATAATTATTCCGAACTCTTTGTCTCTGTAGATTTTGTTATCAGAGTTGCTGTAATAGTAACAAACAGTTTATTCTACATTTTACATCAGAAATAACTTACTCCTGAAGAATTGGTGTCTGTTTCTCTCTCATTACTTTTTATCCACTGGGCTGAAAATTCCGAACACTGTAAGACTTGGCGAGGGTTTGCCATTTTCCAAGTTCTGAATCTGTCAAGTGAAGCGAAGGTTAAATGAACAATTAAAACCGAAAGTGAATGGAACTGATACACTGAGAGAGAATAATTAAATGCATCAAAGTGTCATGTGGCAGTTTATTGGCTCCAGAACATAAAAATAAAAAGGGCAAACTATGAAACCGCTTCCTAGATAAAAATCAATGTTTGATTGACTGAGCTTTCTGGGAGTTGGAATCCACAGCAGATGTAATGGCAGATAACAAATAATCTCTGGCACCCTAGCTGCCTTGACAAAATAAAATCTAACTAAAAATAATATATTGAAAAAATAAAACCATGCAGCTATATGTTCTGTGCCTTGCTGTTTATAATGTCTATAGGGCCCCTGTGGTGCTATTATATTTCTATAATACACAGTTTGCTGTTATTTGTCATCTCTCTCTCTCTGTCTCTCTCTCTGTCTCTCTCTCTGTCTCTCTCTCTGTCTCTGTCTCTCTCTCTGTGTGTCTCTCTCTCTGTGTCTCTCTCTCTCTGTGTCTCTCTCTCTCTCTGTTTCTCTGTCTGTCTCTGTCTCTCTCTCTGTGTCTCTCTCTGTCTCTCTGTCTCTCTGTCTGTCTCTGTCTCTCTCTCTATCTCTCATTCTGTCTGTCTTTTCTTGTCCCTACCTGTCTCTTTCTGAATGTCTTTACCCGCCTTTCTCTCAGCCTCTCCATTCTGCCATAAATCCTATTTTTGCTTTTTATTTAGTTAACTTGTTAATAGAACTGCCAAATCCTGTTTTGTCCACTTTATAACCACAGCTCCCTGTCTCTCCTAAGATCTCTCTGGATTTGAATTCCTACAAGTTAAATATAAACACTATAGTCCCCATGAAAATATTATGAAACTAATGATGGAAGTTTTGCTTATTTCATCTTTAGAAACCATACAATTATTCCTACTAATGTGGATTATTAATAAAAAAGTCTCAAAAGTGGTGAAATATCATGGAAAAAAATGGATTGTTACCCTGTTCTACGCTTAGTGCAGGTGGCTGGGATCCCTCATTCTGTGTTAAATCATTCAAAATCAGTTTATCGCTGTACGTTAAGATGACACCATGGGACTGAAGTGGTTATGGTGCCTTTCATTTTCAAGCTGCCTTCTATATTATCCAAGAGAATGTCCAGTATTTATGGCACCCATAACTTTAGAATTCAGAATGTCTCAAAATAAACAGGGAATCATCACTGTACGAGGTTGGTTTCTTACCTCCGTATTAAGGAGCCGATTCATCGGTGTCTTATACTGTGAGCGTCTCTCCAGCAAATGAATCCGGGGGTGAAATGTACTGTTACTCTCTTTCCTTGTATAAAGTCCAGTCAGGAAATAGATATGGTTTAAATCGTATAGAAAAGACAAGACACTTGGTGATATCAATCAGGAGATAAACATTGAACCTTGAACACAGAAACCTGAACAAGATTCTGTGTACCTTCTTCATAAAACATTTGCATAAACTGTAAATACTGGGAGATAATGCAATGCAGATTCTATCATAGGGTCTTTAACTGCTGTGTTTCCTGTCCTGATATCTTCTCGGAATCCATCAGGCTGTTAACTTATGAAGTTAAGTTTTGTAATTATACTTATTATTATTATTATTATTATTATTATTGCCATTTATATAGCGCCAACAGATTCCGTAGCGCTTTACAATATTATTAGAGGGGGGATTTAACTATAAATAGGACAATTACAAGAAAACATACAGGAACGATAGGTTGGAGAGGACCCTGCTCAAACCAACTTACAGTCTACAGGAGGTGGGGTATAAAACACAATAGATGGCTACGGGAGATGGCTTCCAGAGATGATACCTCTGCTTTGGGGTTTCTGCAGTGCGTGGTTGCTTTTGAGTACTGGGAGTTGCTAATCAATGCTGAAATATAAAGTCTGTGGTTAGTAAAAAAAAAAAACAATTAGGGCATATCACTGTGTCTGCTGAGCAATATTTGTAATTATTATTCAGTTTTCATTCGCTGTTTTAGTGACTTTCTTTCAAGTCATTGTGCCCATTATTCTCAAACTGGCCACGCTCTCAATGCAAATAATTTTTTGTTCTCCTCTCCCCTATGTATAAGCACTACAGTCCTCTCTCAGGTTCACTTACTGCATGTAAACATGTCCTGTGTACCAGGCAAGAACAGTGTGTCCCCAGCGGTGCAATAGGCCACAGGCAGCAGGGGAGGTGGCCCTGGTCACAGGCAGAACAGGGGTAGGCAAAGTTCGGCACTCCAGATGCTGTGGATTAATCTCCCATAATGCACTTAGAGCCATAATGCTGGCAAAGCAGCAGGGAAGATGTAGTCCACACCATCTGGAGTGTGAAGGAAGCCTACCTCTGCTGTAGGATAGTTAAAGTTGAAGACTGTCACTTTGAACATTTTTGGGGGGAGTGAGTGCAGTGTTTGCTCCTCCTAGGCAGCAGTTTAGAGTTTTGATAGCTGACACAATCGAGTCCTTTTAATTTACTAAAAAGCTTTAACACTCTTGGTTAAAGTCAACAACAAAAACACACATGGGCGTTACTGTCTTCTCCACTGTAAAATATTTACAAATCATACTTTTTGTACAGTTCTATGCGGAACACTAATTGGAGTTCCACCAAAACTTTTCAAAATAAAATGGTCAAAATAAATACATTGTATGTGTGTGTGTGTGTTAGGGAGTTTGTATGTGTTTGTGTCTTTGTCAGTGAGAGTGAATGAGTGCTTGTCAGTGAGAATGTATCTGTTCTTGTCAGTGAGAGTTTGTATGTGTGTCTGTCAAAGAATGTGTGTGTTTGTCAGTGAGAGTGTATGTGTGTGTTTGTCAGTGAGAGTGTATGTGTGTTGTCAAAGAGTATGTGTGTCTGAGTGTGTCAGTGTGTGTATCTGTGTGTCAAGGTTTGTGTATGTTTCACTGTGTATCAGTGTGTTTGTGTGTATCTGAGTGTGTATGTGCCAGTGTGTATCTGTGGGTGCAAATGTGTGTATCTGAATGTGTGTGTGTGTGTATGTGTGAGTCAAGATGTGTGTGTCAGTGAGTATCTGAGTGTGTGTGTATATCTTTGTGTCAGAGATATATATATATATATATATATATATACATACACACACTGACACAGAGATACAAACACAGATATACACACCCTGACACATACAAACACAGATAAACACACTTTGAAACATAGATACACACACACACACACTTTGACACACAGATACACACTGTGTGTCAAGGTGTGTGTATCTGTGTACCACTATCTGCCAGTGTGTGTATCTGTGTGTAAGATTCATACACACTGGCACATACGAACACAGATACACACACCTTGATACACAGAAACATACAAACACAGATACACGCACATTGACACACAGATACACACACTTCGACACACAGATACACACACCTTGACACATAGATACATACATACATACACACACACACAGATACACACACCTTGACACATAGATACATACACACACACACAGATACACACTGTGTATCTGTGTGCCAGTGTGTGTATCTGTGTGTCAGATATACAACTGGCACATATAAGCACTGATATACACACCGGCACATACAAAAAAAAGGCGCAATTGTAATTTTGAGGGGGGGGGGGTTCAACGATGTTAATACACTATGTCAAAGGGTTCCACTGGAAAAATTAATTGGGAACCCCTGCACTAGGAACATAAGAGGAGGTAAGCAGTAAAATTGTGCACAGCGAGAAGTTTCTGAATTACAATAAGCAAACAGCAGCAAGTGGAACACATACTCACGCACTGAAGAAAACTCGTGGAGAGTCGAGACGCATCTGCACTTGAGAAGACTGTGTGCTGCCATTGAGGACTTTATCCTGCACAGATGGACTTTATCCTGCACATTGAGCCCCTTCAGCAAGTCAAACTGCTTTAGGGTTCTGGAGTGTCCCTTTAAAAGACACACAGAGAGAGCATACATTATGTTGTATTAACTCAGTGATTCAGCTCTCCACACAGACTGGAGATTGTTTATTATAAAGCTGAATACTGACAGGTTGGGGTGGGACAGGTTGGGGTCTGTCCCACTCATGCAGATGATCCAGTGATTGTTATCTATCTCAGCAATAAGTAACGTATTAAACACTAGGCGTCAATTGGTATTTATCGCTGCTATTAAAGCTCTGAGAGTAACAGAGTGACTGCTGAGTCTGGGGATTTCTGCTGAAGGGAATTAAGTGCAATAGATGCATGTTCACATCATCTATGAATCTCTGGGTTTGCTCTCATACATTCCCTTGTATAGGGAGAGGTATTAGCAGTAGAAAGAGGGAAGTGCTCATGCCATTGTACAGAACACTGGTGAGACCTCACTTGGAGTATTGTACACAGTACTGGAGACCGTATCTTCAGAAGGATATTGATACCTTAGAGAGGGTTCAGAGAAGGGCTACTAAACTGGTTCATGGATTGCGGGATAAAACTTACCAGGAAAGGTTAAAGGATCTTAACATGTATAGCTTGGAGGAAAGACGAGACAGGGGGGATATGATAGAAACATTTAAATATATAAAGGGAATCAACACAGTAAAGGAGGAGACTATATTTAAAAGAAGAAAAACTACCACAACAAGAGGACATAGTCTTAAATTAGAGGGACAAAGGTTTAAAAATAATATCAGGAAGTATTACTTTACTGAGAGGGTAGTGGATGCATGGAATAGCCTTCCAGCTGAAGTGGTAGAGGTTAACACAGTAAAGGAGTTTAAGCATGCGTGGGATAGGCATAAGGCTATCCTAACTATAAGATAAGACTAGGGACTAATGAAAGTATTTAGAAAATTGGGCAGACTAGATGGGCCGAATGGTTCTTATCTGCCGTCACATTCTATGTTTCTATGTTTCTATGGTCACCATTATTCTCCGACGACCGGTTTGTCTTTTTCTCTTACTGTTTTGCACTATCCCTCGTGGTGGTATCTTCCCATTCCTCCCCGCATCTTTCATCTCCATATGATATATATATACATAAATAGATAAAAAATAATATGCAATATACATATGTCTATATACATAATTACATAAATAATTTCATAAATATACACGTAGATGTAAGAAAACCCAGCATTTCTTGACTTTATGCAAACAGTATGTCAACTATTTCCCCAGTTTTGTTTATTTGTTTGGTAGTTTCAAAACTATTGAAACACCGATCACCACTCTGGCTCATTATCACCAAAGGAAATCAGCAATTAAGCGCTCTCCCTGTGTGGCCATCTTGTTTGCACGAAAGGAGGCATCGGGACTTGGTCATTGAGTGTCTGGAACTAAAATCAGACACTCGACTTCCCGAACACCGGTCAAACTATACGAACGACTGCTTCCTTTCCCCGAACAGCTAATAGAGCGCTGTTCGGTAGTTTGGTTCCCACAAACCATGGGAACAATTGCTACTATGAGACTGACCGCACAGCCTAAACGCATGGAACTGGTTCTGGGCAGGAGCCTCGTGTGCAGTCGTTCCAAATGGGACTTTCATGAAATTCGAAAACCCCTGAACTGATCTGGGTGATTTTTGGATATGTTGGTCACCAAGACCAGGGCTATCAGGGGGTGTGACATTTATGGGGATCCTGTATATTTGGGGGGTGTTTTATAAGTTTTGGGAAAATTATGTTTTTTCTGCCTGGAGATAATGAAGTTATTATTTTATCTGACCCAATTATCTCCAGGTAGAGAGGAGGGAATTACTTGTTTGTATTGGGAGTGTCACTGTTTGTCACTACACTGTTATTGACTGTACTAAGTTTTGTCCCTGTCCCCCACAAGGTCCACAGGGGAGTGCCCCTTGCATGGGGAATTGTATAAAAACCAGTGTGGCACCAATAAAGATTCATTCTTGTTACACCCTTCATCGTGTTTTGGCTGATGTTTGGGTACCTGTTCACTAAATTGGAAGAAGTTGCTGAGAAAGCTGTATCTACCAGAGGTCAAGTCCTGGGGGAAAAAGTTTGGGAACTCACCCAAGATCTCCCTCCCCCCCAAATAAAAACCCAAAACACTTGTATGCATATATAAATGCGTACACACACATACACTCACAGACACACACATACACTCAAACACACACATACTCAGACACTCACACAGTGAGGCATGACTATACCTGAGCCCCCCCTAATCTAAATTTACCACCCATTCCTGTCAAGGGCGCACCGCTTCCTGATTAAGAACCCACCCCTTCCTCTTTAGACTCCACATTTTCCTGGTCCTTTTTAAAGAAATACCATAGTGCCAGGAAAACAAAGCTGTCTTCCAGGCACTATAATTCCCTATAGTGCCCCCCTCCCTCGTGTCCTCCCCTCCCCCACTCGACACCGAAGGGGTTAAAATCCTATGGGTATTTAGCAGATGCTGGATGTCCTCAGTCACAGGGTGAGGACGTCCAGCATCAGTTATGCAGGTTTTGGTCACCAAACCACCCGAAAGTCCATCTAGTGGCTGTCTGGTAGACAGCCACTAGAGGTGGAGTTACCCCTCAAGGTAATTATTGCAGTTTATGAGAAACTGCAATAATTACAGTTGCAGGTTTAAAGGGACTGGGACACTGCACCCAGACCACTTCAATGAGCTGAAGTTGTCTGGGTGCCTATAGTGTCCCTTTAAGCACATTCTCTGACAGACACACACGCATTCACTGACACACACTGGCAGATATACACTAATAGTCACACACACACTTAATGACAAACAGACTCTCACTGATTTGACAGACACTCACAAACATACACTAACAGAAGCACATACACACAAACATACACATGCATACACTAACAGAAGCACATACACTCATACACACACGTGCATACACTAACAGAAGCACATACACACGTACATACGCTAACAGACGTAAATACACTCATACACACACATACACTAACAGACATTAACTAACAGACATATACACACACACACGTACACTATCATACATACACACATACATACACTAATAGACATACATACACACACATACATACACTAACAGACATACACACACACTAACAGACATACATACACAAACAGACATATATACAAATTATTAATATTATTAAAATTAACATTTCCCACCCACCTAGCCTCCCTACCTTTTGGGAAAGCTGGCATGGATAGGTCCCAGGGGTCCAGTGGGGCTGCAGTGAGGCATGCGGCTGTCTCTCTGTCACACACGGCGAGGGAGCTGTGTCCTCTCTGCTCTGCTCCCTCTCGCCGCGCGGGCTGTCTACTGATGCCGGTAGCCGGAAGACAGCCGGCTGTAACAGGGAGACAGCCGCCCTGCCAGGAGGGCCCCCCTATGACAGGGGGAACACAGAGCTAGCACCTGGTTAGTGCCTGCAGGGGGAACAGCGCTCCTGCTGTGAAAAAGTGCAGGAACGCTGTTCCCATGCGTTCCTGCAGGACTCGAGCCCTGGTATTTACTCTGAAGAAGGAGACGAATGGAACCCCGAACTGCAAGCTATAATCACTCATGCTCTCAACAGTTTGGATTTATTGATTGCAATTTGGGGGACCTGCCTGACAACCAAGGTCGAATGTCCAGAGAATTTAATTTGCTAGCACTGTATTTAACCCTGTAACTTTCCACGACACCATAAAACCGGAGGTACTGTTTTACTCGGTAGACTTCACTGAACACAAATATTAGTGTTTCAAATTGTGTTGTTAAATTTGGCATAGATTGGTGGTATAATGGTTGCATGAAAAGAGTTAAAATACCCCAGGCTTAATACCTTAGGTTGTCTCCTTTTAAAAAAAAAATATACACATGTGAAGAGTTATTCAGGGATTTCTGACAGATATCAGTGTTACAATGTAACTTGCGTTAATTTTGAAAAAAAATGGTTTGGAAATAGCATGTTATATTTAAATATAAATAAATGTTTATTTATATTTCCAGACATAAAATTGAACCCCCATATATTTTATTACATATTCCCACCCACTGGCCTCGGATGGAACAGAGGAATATAGACCCCCATTACTTATTTAAAAGTCTCCCACCCAGTGGTCAGGTGAAAGCATAGGGACGTAAAATGTCTCTAATATAGTAATATGGATGTCTAATTGATTTCCATAAGATTTTTATTAAATTTTTTTAGTGTGGCGGCTAACTACCGTGTTATTAACTGTGTGACGCTAAGGATTTTCCTGTGCCAATGGGTAAATAGTTCTGATTTTTTTTAAATCAAGACACAGATTTGAGGTCTACAGCCTCCGTCTGGCGGTGTTTGAACTGAATGTAATTCAAACCAAATTCAGGCTCTTTCAGGGCCGGAATTACAAAATCTTGGCATTGTAAAACTGCATGGCCAATATCCAGAGTTTGCTTAGTATTAAATTGGTGCTTTGTAAATATTCCAGTTCCTATACACAAAGTAGGTTTTGGATGCAAAAAGCACGATTTTAACCCCTTAAGGACCAAACTTCTGGAATAAAAGGGAATCATGACATGTCACACGTCATGTGTCCTTAAGGGGTTAAACCAGACACTGAATGCAGCCTGCCTACTGGTGTAGATTCAGAATTGCCATTCTGGTCCGAATTTCTTCCAGACAAAACCCAGTGTTCAGTGAATAACTCAAGGAAGATAAATAATGCTCTCCGGTTTTTGTTTTAATTGAACAGAAATTTAATGTATTCAACGAACATGCACAGACTGCAACAATAACTGGAAATACCTGTCTATACAGATGTCTAAACAGCAATTGGATAAATACTTGCAAAAACATAACATACAGGGATATCATTTCTAATTAGTGGGCTAATAGCTGCTTTATCCAAGGACAAATCTGACTGCTATTTTGGGGTCAAGAAGGAATTTTTTTCCTAGTTTGTTGCAAAATTGAAAAATGCTTCAAACTGGGTTGGGTTTTTTTTTTTTTGCCTTCTTTTGGATCAACAGCAAAAAACAAATGTGAAGAAGGCTGAACTTGATGGACGCAAGTCTCTTTTCTGCTATGTAACTATGTCGCCTTCGGAAACAGAGCATGAAATAATATGATTATGAGGATAGCTATGCCATCTGATATAATGAATTCCACTTTGACATGATGAATATTTTCTTTAAAAAGAAGGAAATGCAAAATTATTATTGCAACAAAATATAGTTAAAGGGCCGCTCCACTGCCCAAATACAAAAATTAATATAAATAACTGTTTAGTAGATATACCCCAAATGAAAACATGCATGCATTAAATTATGTATTTCTTCATTGTGGATATGTCTAAAATCTGCTTGCAGATCTCTTGTCTGCTGCTTTTGCCAGCCCTCCCCTTCTAACCCCGCCCAGACTTCCTGTGGCTGTCCAATCACAGACTTCCCAATGCAGCTCAATGAGAAGTCTTTGCAAGGCAGGTGCTCTGGGCAATTGCTGCCTCTTGAGTTTATCTCCACTGAGCTAAACAAACCAGGAAGTAACAGGACCAGCTGTCTGATTGAAAGACAAGGGGGTGTAAACAGGTTAATTTATAAAAGTGTCAATTTCTATTGAAATCTGCACTTTTTCAAAATAAAAAAATAGAGGACGCACTCTTCACACATAAAGTTTTTCAGTGAGCTAACATTGTTTAGAGGTCTAGAGTGCCCCTTTAATAACCACAAACTGTAAAATCGCTTTTTCGAGTTTCAAGTATGTAGAAATAAATCTTATAGGTAGAGAAAAAAAGTATAGACCTTCAGAGATGTATACTCTGCCCTCGATTTAGCGAACAGGAAAAAAAGAGTGATTGAAAGTAATTTGATACTTTGTATATTTAGTTTGGCATCTACTCAATGTGGAAATCATCTTCAAAAATGGTCTTCGTGAATCACTGTGTAGTTTGGACTCTACGCGTAACCTTGAAATAAGGGATTGCAGGTATCCTGATTATAATGCAATAGAAATATAGAAACATTGAAGCCCATGGAGCAACAAAGTAAGGGGAGTGGGCCTTGACAGAGCCAGGAGTGGGCAGGTGCAGTCAGTTAGGGGTTGGTTAAGCTAATGGAGCTTGGGGGCGGGATTAAAGGGGGTTAAAATAACGGCCATCTTAGAGAGTGGCCATTTTAATCAGAACTTCACTTACCTGTTAGTTGGGACAGGTCTGTGGGGTTTTTCTCTTTTTCTCTTTCTGCAGGTCCATGGCGTCCCTGGATGAGATCCTGGCCGGAGTGAGAGCAGCAGTGAAGGACCGAGGGCTGGCCTGGCTGCATGAACAACTGGGGGCTGCAGTTCCCCCTCCAGCACCAGCGGAGCGCAGGACGGCGCGAAGAGCACGGCCGCCCCAGCGTTTGAGCCCGGGCATGGCGCCCGCTCCACGGCGGCGGAGGAGCCCGTCGGCACCCAGCCAGGAGGCAGGAGGGTCGGACAGCACTGGAAAACGGCCGGCGCCACCTGTGCGACGCGGCGCCGGTCAGACGAGGACGGCCGCAAAGCGCGGGCCTGCCGGAAAACGCGCCCCACTCAAGATGGCGGCAGGCAGCACAAGTACCCCAGAGGAGGGCTCCAGCATGGCGGGAATGGCGGCCGGGAGGGCGGAGGAGCATGTGGTCGGCAGCACTTCATTGAGGCGTCCCGGTGAGTCCACTCTGGTCACTGAGGGGCAGGGGGCGGACGGGACGCGGGATGCTCCTGCGCAGGCGGCCCCCCAGCTACCCAGGGGTGGCCTGGTCAGCGGGATCAGCTCGCGGGCGGCCTTAGATTTGGCCAGGACGGGGGATAGTGCCAGGCATAGGGGTGAGGGGCGGCAGGAGGACGACAGGATCGGGCAGAGAGCGGCAGAGGTTCCAGCGGGCTGCCAGGGGGTGCAAGGGGCCTCTGAACCAGGCGCAGCGGCCAGCGGATGGCCAGGTACAGCGGAGAAGGGTGACCCACATGGTACGGCGCGGGATAGGGAAGTCAGGAGCAGTAGCAGTGGAAGGCTGGGCCCCTCAGGCTGCTCTCACGGGGGGCACCGCAGCGGGACCATGGAGAGGGGGGATTACGGATGGGTACGGCGCAGCGGTAGCGCCAGGCCCAGCAGCAGCAGGAGGTCAGCCGATCGGCAGTGGAGCAGGGACAGGAGTCCATCACATGGCAGGCACAGTGGTTCCAGGGCCAGCTGCAGGGTGGGGAGGAGGAGGTCCGCTTCCAGGGACGGTCGGGGGCGGAGGCGGCGCAGCGCATCTGGGTCCTCGGGTGACAGTGCGCTAGGACAGCAGCGGGTCGCCAGGAGCAGGGAAGTTAGGCCGGCGAGGCAGTGCGAAGCTTGGAACTGCGGAAAGGAGCGTAGGGAGGAAGGACGGGTAGGGTCCCAGCAGTACAGACTACCCAGGTTGTCTTCTCCTTACAGGTCGCGGAGCACTACCCCTACGGTCCTGAGGAGGGATCAGGCGGTTGGGAGTCGGCGTCAACCGGATGCTCCGGAGCCTGAACGGGTGGACGGAAGGTCGGCATCCCCGGGGCCTGGCACGGCCGGGGTCTCCAACGGTGAGTCCATATCTGCACAACACTCTGGACAGTTATTGGGCTATTTAAAAACACTATTGGAGGCATGGTCAGGGAGGGGGGAATCACCATTGCAGTTCGGAAAAGTATGGTCCCCTGACACGGCGGTTAAGGCACTGGGGGCGGTGGGCCAACCAGCGAGCGGTGGCGAGACAAGCGAAGCGGTGGTGGCGTCCGGTGCGGCGGATGGGGGGGCCGAGCCGGCAGTTGGTTGTGGTGACATTCCGGACGCGGCACGTCAAAACGTACACGTATCTTTCGCGGGCCCCCTAGGTTGTCACCTGAAATTAGAGGTCAAGGAAAAGATTTGGAAAGGGGAGTTCATGGAAATTTTTTCCTTGCTCCCTTTGGAGGAATTCCTGGACTTGAAGGAGGAGGATAAGAAGGACGCCAAGAAGGAGGAAGAGGAAAAAAGGCGGAGGTATCGTAAGATACCGAAGACTTTTGGGAATTGGCTGAGGGCATTCTGCATCCTGGCTAGTGTAATAGGGGAAAAAAGGCCGGGGAGCTGTTCGCAACTGTTCTGCTACTTGGATGGGATAGGCGATGCGTATCGGACGTATGGGGGCCTAGCATGGTGGAAATATGATGAGCAGTTTCGGCAACGCTTGGCGGCCAACCCTACCATGCGGTGGGACCAAATGGACCTGCCGCTATGGATGAGGATTATGATGGCGCAGAAGGCTGCGCCCTTTCTCGGGGCAGCTGGGACAGCCTCAGGCATGGTTGTGCCAGCGGGACAAAAGAAGGGCCTATGCTGGACATACAACGAGGGTCAATGCAAGTGGGGTACTTCATGCCGATTTAGGCACGAGTGTTCGGGCTGCGGAGGGAATCACGGCGCCAGCAGATGCTTCAAGAAAGGTAAGCTTAATGCAGGGGGGGGGAACCGCAGGGGTGGCGGCCACCTCGGCTGCAACTGGGGGCGTCCCCAGTGAGGTTAGGCGCGATGTTGCCTTGGCTAAGGCAATACGCTAACCAGGAGGATGCAGCGTTCTTGTGGCGGGGTTTTAGGGAGGGCTTCGTGATCCCCTTCACGGTCAAGGAACCAGGGGCGGTTTGTGCCAATCTTAAATCGGTGCGGGAACGCCCGGAGGTAGTGCGGGACAAGCTGGCTAAAGAGGTCCTTTTAGGGAGGATGGCGGGGCCGTTCCCGTACCCGCCTCTAGCGGAGTTGCGGATATCCCCACTTGGAGTGGTCCCCAAAAAAGAGGCTGGCAAATTCAGGTTGATTCATCACTTATCGTATCCTAAAGGGACATCGGTGAATGATGACATTGACGCGGCACTCTGTTCAGTATCTTACACATCATTCGACAGGGCAGTCGAGTTGGTACGGAGAGCTGGGCGGGGAGCGCTGATGGCGAAGGTGGACGTAGAGGCAGCGTTCCGGCTGCTTCCCATACACCCGTCATGTCATCACCTCTTGGGGTGTTGTTTTGAAGGGGGCTTCTTTGTGGATCTGTGCTTGCCGATGGGTTGTTCCATATCGTGCGCCTATTTCGAGAAGTTTAGCACTTTTCTGGAATGGGTAGTGCGGCGGGAATCGGCCGGGGGCACGGTTGTGCACTACCTGGACGACTTCCTATGTGTCGGCCCTCGAGGCTCAGACCGGTGCAAGCAGATACTACGGGTGTTCCAATGGGTAGCGCAGACGATGGGGGTTCCTTTGGCCGAGGACAAGACCGTGGGACCCGCCACGTGTCTCAGTTTTCTGGGTTTGGAGATCGATTCGGAGATCGGGGAATGTAGATTACCACAGGACAAATTGCACAAACTGAAGGATTTGGTTCACACGATCGGGAGAGCACGGAAGGTGACGCTGAGGGGATTACAGTCTCTGGTAGGGAGCCTGAACTTAGCGTGCAGGGTCATACCCATGGGGAGGGTTTTCTGTAGACGGTTGGCGCGGGCGATGAGCGGGATACGGATGCCGTCACACTACATCAGGGTTTCCGTGGACATGAAGGCGGACTTAGAGGTGTGGGATCGTTTTTTGAGGGACTTCAATGGCAAGGCCTTTTTTCGGAAGCAAGCGGTGTCTTCGGAAGCAGTAGGGCTGTTTACGGACGCTTCGGGCAGCGTTTTTGGAACTCTTTCCTGTGGTGGTTGCGGTAGCGTTGTGGGGAGCAGAATTAGCAAAAAAGCGAGTCGTGTTTTATTCGGACAATATGGCTGTGTTGCAGGCAATCAACAGTTTGTCGGCATCTTCGCTTCCGGTCTTATGTCTTATGCCTACTGCGGCAATTGGTGCTCCTCTGCATGTCTACCAATTTAGTATTCAGGGCTAGGCACATTCCGGGATTCTCAAATGTGGTGGCTGATGCGCTTTCTCGTTTTCAGTGGGATCGTTTTCGGGGAGCGGCTCCAGAGGCACGGGAATACGGGCAGGCCTGCCCAGACGAGATGTGGCGACTCGGGACATCGTGCTTGGGGAATACATAAAGAAATCCTTGGCACCAAGCACATGGTCATCTTATGCTAAGGTTTGGAAGGAATGGGAGGAAACTGTAGAGGAGGTAGGTGGGGACCTTTCGGTGGGCCATAGGTTGGATGTCTTTCTATGGTTGTTGTGCCGTTTGTTTGCAAAGGGGGCTTCGCCGGCCATGGTGGACAGGCATATGTCCGCCTTGGCTTTCTGGTTTAAATTCCAAGGGTGGGAAGATTTGACAAAGCATTTCTTGGTTCGGCAGGCGGTTCGGGGTTTTCGGAGGGGAAAGACGGCGATGGACTTTAGGAGACCGGTGTCCTTTGCGGTCTTACAAGGTTTGGTGGGAACGTTGCCAGGGTTATGTTCCTCGCCATTTGAGGTGGTCCTTTTTTCTGGTGCGTTTGTCTGGGCGTTTTTCGGGGCGTTTCGGATCGGGGAGTTGGTTAGCACCAACAAGGCGGGAGTTGGTGGCTTGCAGCGCGGTGATGTGGAAGTTAAGAGTGATCGCGTGCAGATTAGGTTGGGCCGATCGAAAACTGATGTTTTCGGCAAAGGCTGCTCCGTGGTGCTGTTCGAGTTGCCGGGGTCAGGGTTGTGCCCGGTGGCCTGCGGATCAGGGTACTTGGGTATCCGTCCTAACGTTAGCGGTTGTTTTTTCTTGCACGCTGACGGCACGGCGCTGTCACGGTTTCAATTCATTAGGATTTTTCGTTTAGGCTTAGTGAAGCTGGGCCTGCAGCCCATGCAATTCGGGTCGCATTCGTTCCGTATCGGTGCGGCTACGGAGGCGGCACGCTTAGGTTTGGGAGACGAGCGGATCAAGAGGATTGGAAGGTGGGAATCCGTGCGGTTTCGCTCGTATATGAGGCCCGACGGGATGGTGGAACTTTGAGGGGACAAATGGCCGGGACTGGGGGACACTGGCACTGCGGTGTAACTAATTTTGTCTCTTTTCAGGTTGGAAAGTTTGGTTGCTGGGCCACTCGTTCGTCTATTGGGCACAGAAGAGGGCTGCAGTTCGGAGACAAGGAACACAGCTGGGCTTTCCTCTGGAACGGGCGGTCTTATCCTGGTTTGGTTTTCGAGGTTTTAGTTGGCAGAGCTTGAGTAATGTTTTATTTAGAAAAGTGGCAAGGGGTCCGGTTCCGGATGTGGTAGTGGTGCACGGTGGGGGGAATGACTTAGGGCTGATTCCCCAACGGGAACTGTTGCGGCGAATGAAGAGGGACATGGATCGGCTGCGGGAGCTGGTCCCTGACGTGGTGGTGGTGTGGTCCGAGATGGTGCCTCGTTTTACATGGCGGCACACCAGGGACCCTGCTGCGGTGGCACGATGCAGGGGGAAGATTAATAGGACTATGGCAGTCTTTGTTAATCGGATGGGGGGAGTAGTGGTGAGGCATCGGGAATTGGAGGGCATGTTGCCAGGTTATTTTAGGAGGGACGGAGTGCACCTGTCGGAGGTGGGGTGTGACTTGCTGAACTTGGGGTTCCAGGAGGGCATAGCCCAAGACCTGTTTCAGTGTGGTGGGGGTCGCACATGGTCTTAAGGGGTCAAGACAAGTCCTGTGGCGGAACAGGGCGTGGTTAAGTTGGAAGTTATCAGGGAATTGGAACTGTACAGGCCAGGGCCTAGGCTGAAGTAGGCCAGACGGTGTCATGGTTGGTAGGTTCTAGCTCTTCGGTGGCCACGAACCTGGGGGTGTAGGGGTGTCTGGGTACACCCCTACAGTTATCATTATGATATGGGGCCTCGTTGGTAGGCCGGATGATTACAAGTTTATTGGTAAATGATGTTAATTATTGTTCATGTGGTAGGGTCATTGTCAGGGGATTGTGCGGGGGGATAGTAATTAATGTCATTTATGACAATGACCCTAAATATGTTAATTTATTCATATTAATAAAGCTGTGGACGTTATACTCCAACAGTATTAAATGTGTCCGTGTATTATTAAAGTTAAAGTTTATAGCACATGCCGAATAACGACAGTGCAAATGTCAAGAAGGTGACGGCAGATAAGAACCATTCGGCCCATCTAGTCTGCCCAATTTTCGAAATACTTTCATTAGTCCCTGGCCTTATCTTATAGTTAGGATAGCCCACGCATGGTTAAACGTTGGATATGCCTAAGGCTATCCTATCTATAAATGATAATTGTAAATAATAAAATGGAAAATAAAATGTTACATGTTAGCACTTCAGTCTTGTAGAGATATGTGACCTACATTCTTATTTATAAAACACAGATTGAGATTAACCCCTTAACAAACAGGGCTATTTTGAAATGTAAGACCTTTGTGACAGACCTTTGTCACAAATTCTTGCCATGAGTGAATTCTACCACAAGTTCCCCCTTTTTTGGTTTAAGTAACCCACGCATATTGTATATCATTGTTTTAAAGGAGAAATCAGACTTTCTTTTGATACCCTATATGTATACATAACACAGTTTTAAATACCAATAAAATATTAAAAACACGGAAGAAAACAAGACCATTTCATTTTCAGTTTGATATTTAATAATTTCTACACACAATTTCTATATAAACCAAAACCACATGGAGAGACAAATTAATAGATACAAAAAGTCAGGTGCAAACCATACAAACACTCCCTTAATTGCTTAAATACAAAGATCCAGATATAATACAGAATGCACACTAAAACAGCCACAGATATCAAGTACAAAACTTTAATCAGTAGGCAAATTACAATAAATTACAAAAAATAAACTAAGTAAGAAAATGAGGCAAACCGTAATCAAGAGCAATTTATCCAAATTTTTCAAGCCTCAAGGCAGAAACACAAGTCACCAACCCCCTCCTCCAATGTTTTGGCACCAAGTGGTTGCCTTCATCAAGGGTATCTGTATCCATGTTCTCATGTGTCTGCTTTTAAAGCCCTCATCCAGCTGTTGGCCATCAGCCATCCCCGGAGGTGACATCATCACTGCAGGTGCTGTTACAATACACCAGATATACTTAGGAAAGACCCACCATACATGACATATAAACATAACTAAATATCATAATAATCGTAATAAACATTTAACAAAGTGTGAGGAACTGACTCTGCTGGGTTTCGAACCCTGGTTTACAGACTGCAGGAACATGATCTATACACTAAAATTGCTTCATTAAACTAATGTTTGTTTGGTGCCCATAGTGTCCCTTTAAGTAGATTTAAAAAATTGTTATGGGCCAGTTGGTATTTCTGTGAACACAATCCACCCCCTGTGCCCTCACAGTGGGGCTCTAAATACATATTAGTGCTGTATATAGTGACTCCCTGGACCCCCACTCATGGTCAGCAATATGTATTTAGAGCCCAATCATAGGGGCACAAGTGGACACCATATGCCCCTTTATTTATTTGCTTTATGTATTTAAATAATATCTCCATTGTGAGGACATGATCACTGTCCACCTCTTATTCTTTAAATAAAAGCATCAACCCGATGCCCACAGGGGTTATATGTTAACAAATGGGCAGTATTCCATGCCCAGTCACTAGTCTTTTATTAGCAGACCTGCAGCATGCTGAGCGGGGGCACATGGGAGGACTAAAACCTTTTTTTATACTAACAGGGGGTCATACTGACCCCATAGGCTTTTTTTTATCGTTTTCAATATTGTTTTTGCTAGCAAACGCTGACCAGCCACCATATGATTAACCCTAATGCTGTTGACGTGTGTGGTTTAGTTGAATTTTGGTTTCACAGCTGAATCTTGGCTGAATTGAGCCGGCACATTCATAAACGTCGGAGGTCTCGAATAACATTTCATTTTGGAAAATGTTTGTACTGAAAGTCTGAACGCGTTCACTGTGCATAAGTCTAAGTTTAAAGTTAAAATAGGTGAACTGGAACATTTTATAAGTCAGATATTCTTTTATCTTAGCTGCGCTGGCCATAAATGTAAAATTCAATTTGAATTCACCTTGAATTGTGACTTAAATCTTACCCTGATCGGCTATTTTGACTTTAAATTTAAAATTCTCTTTCAATTTTCACTTTAGTGGTTTAGCCAGAAACTGTGCATATATGTAGGTGCACCTCTTTATTTTCTGTGTAGTGATACTGCCAGGGCCCAAGGCACACAGGGGGCTGCAGGTAAGGAGGGGGAGATGGGGAGAGGAGGGTGAGGCACACAGAGGGTGACTGGGTTAACAGAAGGAAATGTTTGGGGCTTTATGGCACCTGTAATGGACAGCAACAAGGGGGACTTTTCCACCAAGACTATGATTAATTGTCTGCATGTTTAAAATGTTTTCAGACCCCTCTTACTTACTCAATTTTACCAATAAAATATAAAAAATCTAATTTTCTTAACTCAGCTTGCCCATACTGTCCCATACTGTCCCATACTGAATGCCCCATTGTTTTTCATTTACCATTAATCAAGCCAAATCTTGTTTAAAAAGCCAACAGTCTAAATATGATGCAAAGCATATCCCCAAGTACAATATGCTAAATTTATTCAGAGTTTTTATTTTAAATTATACATTTCTTGCAAAGATCTGAGAGCCTCTGTTTGAGTTATCTTTTGCCATTCCGGTGGGATTTCAGCAGGTCCAGCATTAAAGCATTCAGCAAACTGTTCATTAAACTGTTTAAGAACATATTTCCAGTAATTTGAGGAACTCATGTCTCTGTCTGGTTGAATGGTCCAGTCTGGATAAATTGTGCGATAATCTTTGTATTGGTGCCATTTGCCATCTGTGTCTGAGTTTATAAAACTGTCATTGGAAAGGACATCAGTAGAACATATGGAGTTGCAAAGAACATTGGATTCTGACCACATATATTCGGCTAAACCTTTAGGGCGGTGGATAGTTACAAAGTGATTCTCATGCTTAGTTCCAGCAGCTTCACAGGGAACTTCACAGAATGGACATTTTTTCCCACAACCAATGATCTTCTGAAACAATTCATCATGAGGCTTCAGGGTTAGATTAGAGAAGAAAGTCTCAATATCCATCGATTTTATATTGGACGTGAATTCTTTTTCCATTGTATTGAGGAAATACTCAATGTCTTTAGAAAATTGGTGGATGCTTGAAGTGTTTTGGAAACCTGTCACTTTCATTGCATTCTTTGAAAGCACCAAGTGTTTATTTAACTCCACAGAGAAGATTTCTAATAATTCGGACACATTTTTACTATTTTGGACCTTCCGGTCTCTAAGTGCAGCTCTGACCTTTTCAGTAATAGAAGAGAGAATTTTTGATAAAAAGTTGCCTGAACTTATTGAGCTTCCATATTTTTTAGCAATATACTTTGAAATCCAGTTTTTCACATAGTTTTCATACTGTGAAACATATTGAAAGTAGTTTTCAAATCGATTTATTGCAAGCAGATCCTTCAGAAGCGAGAACTGGAAGTGTTTCCGACTTCTGAACCTCATGGCATCAACACCTTGAAACATGTCATCAATAATTTCTTTCCCGAGATTTTTATAGATGTATTCAAATACGGCAGGTTTCAAACATTGCTCGTAGAACTGTTTAGCATAATTCCTGGACTTATCTTTGTGCTGCAATCTATTTTTAAATATTGAGAAGTACTGAGGTTTAAATCTGTTGAGAAGAAGTTTTGGATCATTATTTACGCCAAAATCATCGTGCATCTTCTGAAACAGAGGAGCTGCTTTACCCAAGATATGAAGCTTTAGATCCACTTCAAACAGTGAGGTAGGTTGGAGTTTTCTAACTTCTGCTTTATCCAGTTTGCGATTTATCATAAAAAGTATCTCCTGGCAATATACTTCATTATAATCTTCTTTTGTGTTAACTTTTTCCATAACGTAATAATGGCAATCAGCTGTTAATGACCGAGCAATGTGAGACAACTTTTTGAAACAATCTTTAGTAAAGAACTCCTTAATTCCTTTCATTGAGAAAAAAACAATGTCTATGTAATCCTTAATCACATCAAAACGTTTCTGCGCGTAGTCTTTTAGTGACTTAACATTATTTAATTTCTCATTGACAGCACCTGGTCTGTTCTTCATCTCCCGTTTCAGTTGTTCCAGAATTTCAACATCAATTCGATGTTTTCGCAACCGAGTCACCTTTAGTTCTGTTAAAATATTATCCCAAAATGCATCAAAATCCAGTTTCAGTTCTCTCTCATCCTGCACACTTTGGCTCATTTTGTGAATCTCTAAATGTTTAAGAATCTTTTCTTCAATAGACTCCTGAAATTTACTTTGCATGTTTTGGATTTCACTTTTGTAATTTTGGATTCTGACCGTCTCCCAGCATTTGCTTGATGCCATAACTTCAAGATCTTTCCTGAGACTTTTGACATGAATCAAAAAATCTTCCCTGTATCTTTCCACCAAATGAACATTGGCACAGCCACTCTTAAAGAACAGTATTAACTGATTTGTCATGTTGGCCTCCTCGTTGTCTAGCAGGTTTTTTATATCATTTGTTATCATATCTGATGTTCCTGTCTGTAGATTTTCGGGATACTGATTTTTAATAACATTTTCAGATGTAGCCAAGTGAGAATGAACCCGTTTGCGGAAGTCCCATTCCAACTCTGAGTATTTCATGGACAGCTGATCATAGGCTTCTGCCACTAGGATGTTTCGGAAACTGAAAATAAACGTTTCATGCTTTACAGCATTCCACAAACTCTTTATCCATTCAATAAATGAACGGGTATTTTGTGGTAATGATGATTGCCTTCCTTTTAAGAAACCAAAAATATATTTTCTTAATTTGAAGACATTTTCACTGTATCCTTGGTTTACTGGAGCCATGGGTGGGACCCCATGCCATAATCCAGGAATGTACCAGGTGTACCTTTCAGGATCATAATCAATGATATCAGAAAATTCCATGGATTTATTCCTTCTCTCCATTTTAGCTGCAACCTTTGTCATATCGTTAAGTTCTTTCAGAAGATTTGCCCTACCAACCATATTTTTGTCATGTGCTGTCACGTCACTTACATTCTGATGTACGAGGTGACAGTTTGGTTTCTTTCCAACTTCACTCATCCTAAGGAAAGCATGAACCACAATCTGCAAGGTGTCTTTCATTTCTGCTGAGTTCTCCATGGCCATGTTAATTATGGTGATATCACTCAGCCCGACCACTAGCGTTGCCAGCTCATTGTCATGTTCATAACTGTCCTCCATAGAAGACAATTCAGGAGCTTTTAGACCTTCAGTATCAATCACCAGAATAAAGTCACAGCCCAGCCCCTGTCGGACATCCTCTTTCACTTTAATAAGGGTCATGAAAGCCCCTCGTGTACATCGTCCACTGGCCACTGGGAACTGCAAACCAAACATGGTGTTAAGAAGGGTGGATTTCCCCGTACTCTGAACTCCCAGCACAGTGATCACTCTCATTCTGCATCGTCCTCCAGTCTTGGTGTCCAGCTCAATCAGGACATCAGTTATCCACTGCAGGGGGATATTGGAGGCATCTCCATCAATCAGCTCTAATGGAAACCCACCCAACAGGAGATCAGCTGCTATTCCTGGAAGATGACTAAATTGTCTCTGGTTTGAACTGATTTGTTTCTGTTTAATCATAGAACATTCAGCTTCATAAAACTGCCCCATCTCACGCAGGAAGTGTTCAATCCCCAATGAACTGTCTGAAATATTTTGGGAAAGTCCCTTCAGTTCATTTGTATTTGCTGACATAGCAATGCTTTTTCGCCTGTACTCAGCCTGTAACCCTGGCACATTGTCTCTGGAAATTGAATCAAGATAAAACTTCATCCATTTCATAAAATAACATTTTTCTGTACCAGTTAATTTTGTTACAGATGTGATAAAGTTCTTCATACCTTCAGGCACTTGGTGTTGATATTGGGTCTTCGTTAGGTCAAAGCATTTTTTTATGAGTTGATTTCTGTAAGTGTTAGTGTTACATCTTCCTTGATTCTTCATTCTACACATCTCTTTTTCCAAGCCAGATATCTCCTTCCACAGATCACCCTGCAATCGCATAGTATCTTTCTTGTATTGAGCCACATCCTTTATTTTTCTAGTGATTGACAAGGCATGCTTCCTGGCTTCCTGACATTCCACAGAATCCTCATCTACTTTTATTTTATGTTTATCGGCCTTGATAATCATATTTTCCAGGCTTAGTTGGTTGTCTTTGTCCTTCATAGAACCTAAAATAATAAGCTGTATATCGTTAACAGATTGAATGGCATTTCTATCGTGGGTCTTAATCATGCCAACTTTCAATTCTTGAGACAATTTTTTTAAGTTTTCTCTTGTCATCTGCATTTTCTGTTTGTCATTATTTTGGCTAAGGACAAAATAGTAATGTATCTTTGTGTTGGTCAACTGGGAAAACACTATGTAATCCTCTTCAGTAAAACTCTCAATAAATACAAAGACAGCGGCAGATATCTGTGTTAGAAAGGTGAATTGTGCCAAGTTATATTTCAGGTCTCCATGTAAACTGGAGACAGCAAAGGGTTCTGGGAAGGTTTCAGAGTTCCCTGTACCACCAGGGAAGAACCAAGATATTTCTACTAACCCGTCAGAGACATTTCGAGGGTAATTCCCGCAATCCATATCCTGATTCACAAAAATACTGTAATGTGCATGAGCCGGGCTTAGCAAATGATTCAGGAATTTAGATTTGGATAAGGTACATTTACCCAGCCGCACAAAAGAGAAGGTCGGCATGGGAATGTTCACCACATTATCCTCCATAAAACCTTTACTGTCTACTAATGAGTGAGGTCTCCATCTTTTCACAATATCTCTCATTGCCCATAGCATGAAGGTGCAGTTAAAGCCATCCCCAGCAGGGAGCAGCAGAGGGACAGCAAACTGGCACATGGACATCTTGGTTATAATTTCCTGTTGTAAGAAATGGTCTGAACAATTCAGGAGAACACACAGAACATCCAGGGGGTGGACGGAATCAGACAAGTCTGTTTCTTCATCATCGTTAAAACACTGAAACCTGCTCAGACTATCCTTAGTCTTTGCACTTTGTGCAGGTTCTTTAAGTGTTGTGTTTCTTGCGTTCACATTAAGAGCCATTACATTCTGCAGAAAATACCAAGGAATGTTCTCTACAGTCCGTAGTTCAATGTCATTCATGGATTCCTGTCCGATATTAAAAACATCCTGTAGAGTGAGCTTTGTCTCTCTGTATTCTCCCATCTTTAGCCGTGACACGAGGGCAGTAAATTCAGGGCTTTCTCCTGGGGAAAAAAGGCAGGTAAAGTAGATTTGTTTAAATGTGTGTGTCATGATATTTTAACATTAAGGGAACACTCCGAGCACCTTAACCACTACAGTGGTTAAAAATCTCCCAAAGGAGTTTGAGGCTCTATATATATTATTACTCACCTGAGATAACACTTTGTGATTTTGGAATGGAGGGTCCTCCCTCGTTTTCCTCCCACATAGGTTGTGAGCCCTGCACCTATTATAAAGAACAAAATTTAATTAGATTATTTTAGAGCAGGACCCAGAGAATGTCACGTTAAAGTGGCACGTTATGCTGATTTTCAAGCTTTCTATGTTTCTCACTGTCAGAGAGAAATTACTTGCCTATATTTCCTACTCCCCTTTTCTGACAGCCATCTTTATTCACCCAACACGCACTATTTAACAACCATTCATCGCTTTTCAAAGTCGCCTGACCGGAACGAGCACTCGATTCTAAAAAGTAACAGACGGTTGTAAAACAGTGAGAATTGGGTCAGATAACTGACGGTCAGACTCAAGGGGCATAAAGAAGGGAAAAGCAAGTGATAACTTAAAAATTATACTCATTCGTTAAGACAAAGTGGACCCTTGGAAATGCAAATGACAATATAACTCTTGAGCATGCTGTATCTGCACTTTGTGATGAGTGCTACCTCCCCAGGAAGAGTAACCGAGTACTTCACAGTACCCCAGGCTAAGGAGGCTTTACCCTAATACTCTGTGACACCTACTGATACATACTGAATAACACCCCAACCCTGACTTACCTGTAATGTGTTGGATAATATTTCCTTATTTGATTGGCTGTTTGTTTTCTGCTTGGCCATACTGTGTTTGTGATCAATAGGCCACTTTCTCCAAACCACAGGCTCACCGAATTGTCGTATCTTGTCATTAACATTTACTGGCTTCACCTCTATATATTTGGTAAACAAAACAATAACAAATCAGTCAATTTCAAATCACAAAGTACCAAACCCATAACCCTATTGGGGTAATGCTTATAACAGTAGGGGTTCACTTTGGGGTCTACTGACTCTGCATCATTCAGAATGGAATCGATTCCATATACTGTTTGATGACCAGTGCAGATAATATTACTGACATACTGAATGTGACATCAGAGAGACAGTGTGTTATAATGTTACAAACCTTTATCTTCATCGCGCTCACAGGTATTTGTCCCCAATGTGTCTTTGTGTGTGACATCTAATACGCTGCGCATAGCCATGTATCCACTTTTGTCTTGTAGATATTGGGACGAATCAGGACGTAGCTGAGAATTTATGGATTAGACAGAAAGATCAATGAAAATAAAATACACACAAATAAAGTTTCATTCTTCCATTTTAGATTTCAAACCGAGTAGTTATTATGTATTTATGGTGTATCATTGTTTGAGCGCAGTTTGCTAATTAAGATTAAGTCACCAGTGGACACGCAGGGATATTTTTATTATCCTGCTTTTACAAACACAATTTATTCCACAAAAAAATTAATAATAATAACATTTTTTTCTAAAAAAGCAAAATAAAAATATGGACTTACAGGTGGAAAGTCTGGCTGGAATGACCTGTTGTCTTCTCCTGGTCTCTGATCTGGCTCGGGAGACATATGCATGGAGCATTTATTGGTCTTGAGAGGGTGACCGGACACATCATTTTTCCTGACGTGTAATTTCGGTACTGAATGATTCAAAATGGAGTTGGACAGTAAGTCTTTATATTTAGAATTGAGATAATTGTAAATACAGAAAGATCTTTGACAAACACCTTTATTTCTGAACCAGATCCGTAATCTAACGATGACCTGAACCACATACAAGCAGTACACAAAATAACAGAAACATTATATTGTTACAAATATAATAATAGCAAAATTATTAAAGTAGCAGTCCATGCACCATAACCACTACAGTGTATGGTGGTGGATATGGCACCAATCTTGTCCCTATTTGGATTTAAAGGAACACTTCAGGCACCAAAACCACTTCATGCCAGTGAAGTGGTAATGTACCCAAAGTCCTAATGCCTTCTTAATCTCAAATTTTAAGCTGTTCTCATCTTCTTCACTGGAACTGCTCAGCAAATGTGGGAGCACATGGGCAGCAAGGGATCAGAGCCACTGCTGCAGGTACTGAGCAATTCCAGACGTTAAGCCAGACCAGTGCCTTGGGGACTCCATTTCAGTTTTAAACCATTCAAAAATTGTTTAACTCTCGAAGGTAGGAAGGCATTGGTAAACCCTGGACACCATAACCACTTAATTGACATGTGTGGCAAGTGTTCCTTTAATTAAATGGCTGAGAGCATCACTCTCAGTCAATGAATGATGCCCAGAATTATGAAATATTTAGAGCAGAATGGAAACTTATATTGGCTGGTTAGCCATCACTGTCTTAGACCTGGGAAACTCAGTGTGAATCCTGTACAGACCTTTAAATCCTCATAGATTGCAAACTTGTGTAAGCAGGGCTTTCTTCACCTCAGAATATCCCTTTTCTATAATTGTAAAGCTCTGTGGAATATGTTGGCGCTATATGAATAGGAATAATAATAACTTCGCTTTGGTGATATCATGGAAGACAAGAAGGACCTCAGACACCCAAGGGACCAAAATAAGTGTCAAAGCATTGGAAAGTAATTTGATTCCTAACCTGGGATGGTACCAGTGGGCTCCTGGCACCATATCCACAGACTGTAGTGGTTATGGTGGTTATGGTGCTTAGAGTGTCTCTTAATGAGTACTGCCTGGTTCTCTTCCCTCCAGTTTGAGCTGCTGTGTCCCCTGAGTATTCTACAGAGAGGAGTCGGTTTGGATCAGTGGCAGAAGCCTGACGCACTGTTCATGGACAATAGAGAGGTTGGTGGGGCAATAAAAGCAGGTATGTTTTGCAATGCTAAACTCTTGATCATATTGTCTTTTCATCGTTCTGTTAACAGTTGAAATAGAATTAAACAACAAATGTCTGATTTCCGATAATAATTTCCACCGACATTAAGAAAGATGAAACCCACCTGATTTCATCACCGTAATAATAATCTGAGTGAACACTCACCTTCCTGAGCGTGCTGTGTATTTCTTCTTGCACTTCCTTCACCTTTGCGATTTTTTGGCTATAATCATGAGAAAGCAACTTAGTGTAATTCACGTAACATACATTTTTTATACCAGTACAACCTGTTTTAAAGACAACAACAACACATTCCACAGTTGGTTCAGGAGACAAAAACGTCATCAAATTGAAATGGATATTAAGACTTTTCTAACCAAAACCTGCTATCGTCTTTGATCAATTACACCATGACATCCAGATTTTCCCAGGTTCTTAAGGGTTAAAGAATGCAATCGTAAAATTCTATAAAATAAAACAGGCATTCCGATGGGAATTAAAACAGAGCTGTCATGTTTCCATTCCCGATGGCTGGCAGCTGGCAGACAGCTCTGTTTATTATTTAACAATTAACATGGTCTTAATGCACAAATAAATCTACAAATATACAGTTTCCTATTGACCTTGACTTACTTGTACGACATTTAACGGTGAATCTTCGCGATCACTGGCAGCAGGTTTGGTGGGATAGCGATGGGATGACATCTTCTCCGAATCTCGGATTTCCTGTCCGCCGCGGCCTGGACCTACTATTACATTTTAAAATATGCCATTAGTTTGTTCTGCGTTTGGTTTCAGAGATGTTGCATATTATATGTTATCAATCCCCACTGGCTTTGCTCACTGTGTTATTCAATCTTAATACAGCTATAGTATTAATCTGTGCTCTGTTTGTGCCAATTTAAATCATTAAGAAAAACACTCTTTTAGTTTGTGCTGATTTGTGTCACAAAACATTCTTGCTATTATATAACATTACAGACATTACAATTTTAAAACATGCTCTGGCCAAATGCGAGACTCAAGTTGGAGCTATGTCTATTGCCCTCTACAAATTGTATCCAGTAAATCCTTAAACATAAATCGCAATTGGGAAGTCTCCCTGCAATCTCATTTTGTATCAGAAAGAATGGTTTTGGGTTGTTTAGAATATGGTATCTGTGCGAAGTAGAAAGAATGTAATTCACACACATTTATCCTTGTTAGGAATAGGGCACATATCTGGGTATCAATGCCCTGACTCGTGAGTTATACTCTGCCATGCCTTTCTAGACCACTCAAGCACTTCAGCTTGCTGTCGATCAGACAACTGGCCATTCTACTTCCTGGTTTGGTTAGCTCAGTGGAACTCAACTCAAGAGGCAGCAATTGCTCAGAGCACCTGCCTTGCAAAGATTTATCATTGAACTGCATTGGGAAGTCTGTGCTTGGACAGCCACAGAAAGTTTTGGCGGGATTAGAAGGGGAGGCCTTCCTAGTTTCAGGATACGAATGCTCCCCCCTTATGGTAGTTCATATCTCCCGAACGTTGTTCGCATAGGTGGTCGGGATGTAGAACGGGCATCGCTCTAATCTTTACCGGGGTTTGTGCGAGTGCCTAGCCGAAAAGAGTTCCAGGTACTCGACAACCAAGTGTCATTATCCACATTCGGGAGACCAGACGGCCCGCCATTCTTTTGTTGACTACATGCATACGGCTATATGAAATGGCGGCCACCCAAGGGAAGCATTCATTAATTACTTTCCTTGTGGTTTCCAACTTAAGTTGCTTGTGTGAACGTTCTAGTGGGGTACAGGGGTGGTCCTCATTCGGGAGACGAATGGATGGCATTCGTATATAATAACTCCCAAAATGGAAAAAGGGAAAAATACACAAACAGGGGCAAAGTATACGAAATTGGGGGTAGGTTCCGCCACACTTTGCTTGTTTCAGATACTGGCTCTGATATCGATGGAATCGCCAGAAATCAAGTCATACTTTCAGTGGTTACAATTCAAACGGATCCTAGTTTTACACGTTCCTTAGTTCAAACTGCGATGAAAAAAATTGTTTTGATTTACGGAGGGGTCACCAACATCAAAATGTCCAATGAATGTCTAATGGGAGTTACTCCAAAACCACTTGACAAGCTCCCCACAGCCTCTCTTCAATCTGCTAATAGAATAAAATCTGTCAACAGGGTTTTACCAATCATTATGTAACCCAATCTGTATATAAAAACTAATGAGCACTCAAAAAGGAATCTGATTTGATGTGATCGATTCATGACAAAGTGTTTGGAATTAGAATAAAATCATGTGATATATAATATATAGAGAAATATAGTTTATTTATTCTATTAATTTATCCTTTGCAGATATTATTGGGTATAAGGTTGTAGAGAGCATCTCTTACATTGCAATCCTTTGTACAGCTTCAGATAAACAGGTGTAGGAAACAAAATGCATCTGCTGGGATTCTGAGGGATCGGCTGGGATACTGAGGAATCGGCTGGGATACTGAGGGATCTGCTGGAACATTGAGGAATATGCTGGAATATTTAGAAATGCAGATTCCCAAAATGCCTGCAAAATGTGAAATGGTGTCTATATGTGTTTGTAATGCCCATATAGATAGTAAATACAGTTGCTTGCTAAAATTGCTGATGTTCCCTCGTAGTTATCTACGACCTTTCCCATCTCATCCCACATTCTGCTCCCCACACCGGCTGAACTTTGAGCCTTTAGAGATTTCTATACAGAAGAGGAGGAGGTGGAAATAACTACACGCATATTCCCCTAAGCAGTGCAAAAGGGCTAACTGGGACAACAGAAGATTCTGTTACCGGTTTACTACCAAATACCTACAAGCAAGGAGTTTAACCATTTTTATTTATCTATTTTTGTCACAGTTACTGAATATGAAAAACTAAATAAAGTTTTTGTTGTTATAATGGCATTAAAGACCCCGTGTGAAAAATTGCAAGATATAGTGCAATGTATACTGTTTAGAGCCTTTCATTCATATATTATTAACAAGGATGAAGGAATACGTGAAAACGAACACTTAGCACAAACTTACGTAATATTAATTTTTAAGTTTGTCTGTAAAGCAAAACCGCAGTGTTATGATATGTTTGTATACTAGCTATGATCCCTTGCTCCAAATAAATGTTCTAGTAATATTCTTTCAGTGAAGGGGTTAATTGTGTCTATTGTACACTGCTGTGGAATATGTTGGCGCTATATTAATCATTGTAAGGATAATGGGGATGTGTGCGTACGTAGATGTTTTACAATGTAACGATATGTTTTATAATATTCTTTTTAATGTTTTATAATCTATGAATTTTTCATGCACAATGAAACCAATCCTTTATAGAGACTGAGTTGGCAGGAAACGGGTTAAATAAAGTAAACGTAGTTACATACCATTTAATGTGTCCTCAGACTCTGTTTATTTCTCTGTCACTGTCTGTCGTCCAAACCATCGGCTCCCACTAAAATCTATTGACAAGTGACATTCTAAATAAATAATGCCTGGAGTGTCCCTTTAACCCCTTAAGGACACTTGACATGTGTGACATGTCATGATTCCCTTTTATTACAGAAGTTTGGTCCTTAAGGGGTCAATCAAAGCAATTACAAAACTGTGACTTGTTTACATTTCATCTTTATATCAATAGCAAGTCTTTTACATTAACCTGTCTAAGATAATATACCATTTTTTTATAGAGGCTATGGCACATACAATATACTGCTAACAGTTCTCACTATCAGACTATAACAAGATAATTCACTAAAGTGAGAATTTAAAGTGAGATTTTTTTTAAGGCCAGAGTAACCAATCTGAAAGTATAGCTGATTTAGAGAATGTTTCCAGCTCGGCTACTTTGGTCTTACATTAGAAATTTACTGTAAATACTCAGTTCACGGAATGTCCCTGTCAGTCTCACGTATTGTAAAATCTCAGCTCGTAATACACAGCAAGTCATGGTAGGGGGGCTTTCTTACCTCTGTATAAAGGAGGGGATCGTTTTCACAGTGTCTCGTATTAGAAGATTTTTTTTCAGCAAATGAACGCTGTACGTTAGACCAAAGTTTATTCACTACTTTCTCTTCCTTGTAGAAAGCGTATTGAGGAAATAGATACAATTTAAAACATTCCTCTATTCGGAGTTATCTCCAAGTGATAAAATCTACCAAAGGTTATTTTTTTTTATAACTTGGTTAATGGGAGGTTGAAAGTCGTGGGAGACGAAGCATGATGAAAAATTACTAGGATTTTGTAACTGTCTCAGAGATCATTTAACGGGGAACTGTCACTTCTCTGGAACCTGCACCTTTAAATAAAACATTCGTGGTTCCTCACTAACGTCCGAATGGCCTCGTACTGAGTGGTCCAAAACCATTTGCTGCTGTTTGGGGCAATCAGGCATTGTGGATAGAATTCATTAATGTCAAGATAATGTAAACCAGGCCCCTAATTGGCCTGAACGCTGCTAAGGGTTAATAAGTATAAAGGGGTGTATATAAAAATACCCCTCTCTGTCTCATTAGAGATATCTTTGCCAGAAGCAAAGGTGCTGCCGGTCCAGTAGTGATGGGAGTGAGCGCAGGACTTCTCTTTTTGTATTTGTATTTACTTTGTATCACACAGCCTTGTTACAATGCTGCCGCCCATCCCATGTGTTCCCTATTAAGGTTTAATAAGTATATAGGGGTGTATATAAAAAATACCCCTCTCTGTCTCATTAGAGATATCCTTTGCCAGAAGCTCAAGGAAGCAGGTTGAAGGGTCAGTGTAGGACCTGCTTAGGGGGAGTCTGCCTTGACGTTGGCAGGCGGGCATTCCCTCCAATGGCCATTGGAGCAACTAAATAACTTCCATTTGTTTAAATATACATAGGGATTGGGGAGAGAGCGCAGGTATCTTTTTCTTTTGTTATAATTGTCTAAAGACACAGCGCACCTTTTGTTGTATATAGTTGTGTGTAGTGTTTGGAGTTACTGCTGTACTTCATTTTTTTGCTGTTAATGTTTTTTTTTAGCGTCATTACTTTACTTGTATTTTTCTGTGTATAGTCTTTATAAAAGGCCCCATCCTGATGTGAAATGATGGCAGGACATAGTCCCCCCCCCACCTGTGGGCATCGGGTGGGGACTACTTTAAACATTCATGGGGAGGTCCTAGTGATAGACAGAAAGGCGTATTTTTCTTAATCTATTGACACTTACTAACCTTTAATAGGGGACACATGCGGTGGGCGGCAGCACTGGAACATAGCTTAGTGTTTTTGCGTTTACGTTTGTATTATACTATCATGTTACAGTGCTGATGCCCACCAAATGTGTTCCCTATTAAGGTTTAATAAGTGTAGAGATATCGCTTTTTAGTTCAAAGCAACAATGTGAATTGTTAGTGTAGGGCTCACTTAAGAAGTTTGCCTTGACGAGGCAGGTGAGCTTACACTTTAATGACCATTGGAGTTATACTAAAATATCCTGTTTTTGAAAAGTGCATATGGATTTGGTAATGAGTGCATTGCCTTGACCCCAGAATGGCAGTCAGATTTATCCTTGGATCAAGCAGTTATTACCCTACATTGAAAGATTATATCCTTGAATATAAGATTAAACACATAAAGGTTTTTTTTTTTAAATGTGTCGGCTGTAACGCCTATTTAAAGAGGGGTGGTAGGGAGGAAGTGCTTTCATTAATCCATTAATTTATATTTTATATATTGTTTTTAACATATTTCCAATTATTAAAGCACTATTTTTAATTGAATTTTATGCCATTTATACACTTATCCTGTGTTGAGCATTAGAATTCTTATTTTGTGGAACTATAGCCCACTCTTGTGGTACTCAGAGAGTATTATCACTCAAATACTGGTACATTGTGTTTGGCAATATCATAGCATGATGTAAAAGTTTATTGTAGTTGTGGCATATTTTCTTATTACACACATTCTACAGTTACTCCTTATATACGGGACCTTCTTTTTGTTTTATTTTATCTTTTTTCCCATTTTAATATTTTTAGGTGGTTAGGAAACTGCTGTTTTAATAATATATCTGCTTGAATAGCAGTGGGGGAACATAGAGGATAAGATCCACTAAAGGGGGTAAGACATTTAAAAGGGGGAATAGGCAACACAAAAAGGGAGTTAAAAGACACAGAGGTGTTTGAGGTGGGATTTTTCTTTATCACTCTTTTAGTATTTGTGTATGTTTTTCTATTTTTCTTTATCAAAGTATGCATTTATTTATAATAAAATCCCCCAATATATTTTAGAGGTGAAGACAGGTCATTACATTTTTATGTATTCTTTAATTTAGATAAAAGATAACAGGTTAGAGCAGGGGTAGGCAACCTTTGGCACTGAGGAAGGTGCAGGGGATCATGGAGACTGAGGTGAGTACAGCAGAGGCTTGGGTGCAGGGTGGGATGGGGCAAAGGTGGCTGCAGCATTGGATGTGGGCTGAGATGGGTGCAGGGAAGGATGGAGGCTCAGATGGGTGCAGGTTGGGGGGCTAAGGTAGGTGCACGTGGGATGGGTCTAAGGTGGGTGCAAGGTAGGATCGGACTGAGGTGGGTGCAGAGAGGGATTAAGGCTGAGTTGGGTGCATGGAAGGATGGGGCTAAGGTGGGTTCAGGGAGGAATGGGGACTGAGATGGGTGCAAGGTGGAATGGGGCTGAGGTAGGTGCAGAGAGGGATGAGAGCTGAGGTGGGAGCAGAAAAGGATTGGGGCTGAGGTGGGTGCAGTCGTCTAGGCGGAGCCAGGTCCCATGCTCTTACAGAGGCGTTGAAGAACATCTACATCTGTGTCACAGGCTTTCTCGGCAGCTGCATCTCTTGCCGACATTGTGCGTTCTGCAGATTGGACTCGGAAGGATACTTTCCATATATTTTGCTTCAAACTATTTTCTCACGCGTCTTTTGCTTTTCTTCCACAGTGTTAAAAATGCAAAATATAAAGCCTCC